ATGTGGAGACGGGGTGGCTGCTAACTTATATTTGCATTATGGGATTTTTTTAATCCTCTCTGTACAGTCAGAGCTGTGCTTGTTCAGTAATACATCCAGCTGCATGGAAGTGGTGAAGCCAGTCAGCCTGCCATGTGTGCCAAAAGGCTTTTCATCAGAAATCTGAGTGCGTTGGTCTCCCCTCCGCAGACGGGTTCCGTGCTGGCTTCAGTATGGCTCCTTGCTCAGCTGCAAGGCTCCTCACTACGTTCTGTTTTCCAAAACTAATGCAAATGTAGTTGCTGTAAAAGGCAAAAGAATTTTAAAAACTTGTCAGAACTAAAAATCTGTTTTAAAATGTGCCATTTTATTTGCCTGAAACTGAGCATTACTGAAATAAGTGTAACAGCATGCATATATGCAGGAATAACTAGCAGAGGTTGATTTTTATAACTGAACCTGCTTAGTGACTAAGGCATTACCTGGTGGCAGGGTAAGCCTTTCCTGTTTTCTGAATTGCACGGTAAGCCTGAATTTGGCTTGAGATGGAATGAAATAGTGTTTGGTAGCTGAGAATCTGCTCTCTCAAGTAGTATTATTGAGCTCTCTGTATCTATCAGTTGTCATGGACATAAATAGGAGGCGTTACTTTTGTCCTTGTCTTTTCTTCACTCCTTGGATCAAACTCCAGCCAAAGTTAGCAAGAAATACTTCACTGAATTTTAATAAAATTTATTAAGGAGGGAGATCCACATTAGTAGTAGTGTGTTACAGTCTGTTCAAATGATCTTGAAGCTCTGAACTTGCAGGTGCTGAACTCTGCTCTCTGTGACAGCAACAGGGCCTGAGGGAATGGCATGGGGCTGTGGCAGGGAAGGGGCAGCTGGGGGTCAGGGACAGGGACTGCATCAGAGGGCAGTGGGCACGGAACAGGCTGCCCTGGGCAGTGGGCACTGCCCTGGTACCAGTGCTCAGGGAGCATTGGGACACTGCTTTCAGACATTGGTTTTGGGTTTAGGTGGTGCTGTGCAGAGCTCAGTTGGGCTCAGTGATCCTTATGGGTCCTTTCCAACTCAGGATGTTCTTTGGCTTTAGGGTTTGAAGCCTAAAATAATGTTTTCTGCTGCTTTGTGTCAACTGTGAAAACATATTTTCAGAAGAGTAACAAGGGTAAATACCAGTGGGTAACTTCTTCTACATCAAATCAACCATTGTGTAAAAGGCACAACACTGTATGCTGCAACATTAGAGACAAGACTCAAGGTAATGGTCTCGAACGTTGTGCTTTTATAGACTTGCTGGTGTCTTAGTTAGCTTCACATAAACATAGAATGGTTTGTGTTGGAAGGACCTTTAGGACTACCTCGTTCCAACCCCCTGCTATAGGCAGGGACACCTCCCTTTCAACCAGGTTGCTCACAACCCCACCCAGCCTGGCCTTGAATGATTCCAGGGAGGGGGCACTCACAACCTCTATTAGGCTTACTTTATTACCAGCAATGATTTAATCTAGTATTTCTGTGAACTGTCAGGTAACTGTTATCTTTTTTTGTTTATTTAGGATATACGACTCGAATCCCGAACAACCAAATATATTCCAGGTAGAGCAACTGGAACGTCTGAAGAAGGAATTACCAGAGTTGAAAAGCTGCGTGTGTCCCACTGTTAGCCACTTTAAGTCCATATCTCCATGTAAATGTCATCTTAGTTGCTTAGAAGAGAAAGCTGTAGATAACTTGCAGAGCGTTCAAATGCAAAAGGACTGACTGTAGGCAGAATGCTGGTTTGTATCTGTTTAATTGTGACCATTGAAACAGTGCTATCCATGCCTTAGTGTTTGTTTATTTTAAGTTTCCCAAACAGCAATAACTGTGTTCCTCCCTTCTGACAGTACTTGTTCAAGTTCCAAACAAGATTCAAGTATTGAGCCAGCTGTAGCTGTTGTCCCAGTTTACGTAGTTTTAACTTTCTCATAATCAAGTCTCAAATTTTGAAAACAAAATGAAGTATTAACACTAAGTGTATTTTAAAAATAAGCACTCTGAGGAGTGGAATCTCAAAAACCACATTGTAGAGAAATTACAATGATCTGGTAATGAAAGCAGTTAAAGAATACATTGATCTGACTTAAGTTGTACTTGAATAGCGCAGCTTGTTAGCCTGCACCTGACAACAGGAAATGAAGAGTGGTCGTAAGGCACATCTAATTAAATCTGGCCTGAATAAATTGGTACCTCATCTATATACATATATATATTGTATGTATTTGCACTGAGACATCAATGTGTACTAAGCTTTGTGCCATTTCAAAAACATCTGTGCATTTTCTTTAAGTAAATTGCAAAGCATGTGAACTCATTTCCTCCCCCTCCAGTGGACATTCAGGCTGCTGCCATTGTTTCCCCATTTGCCAACCGAGTGGTACGGTGTCTGTGTGGAGCAGTGAGGGGTGAACCACCAGAGCCACATCTTTCATTTATCTCACACAAACCTGCTGAACTTTTTAGGAATGTTGCTTAGAATTTTAACAGAATTACAGAAATACCTTCAGTGGTTGATAATCTTTTGCACAGTAACCTTAATAAACAAAATATGTACGAATGCACAAACTCTACAAAATGCATGCTTTAGTTATAAGCATGGGATTTAGGTGTTTGAAGTCCTTGCATCTTTACGGTGCTAGTTATGTGTGAAGGGTGCAAGGACTCACTGAACTACTTCATTTTTTTTGCCTAAAACCACAAGCCTGTTATTCACAAACATTTGGAGGAGGAAGAAGAAGCTGTACCATACATGGTTTGTCTTTTTCATATAATATAAGCCACTAGCTTTTGTATTTTGCAATATTTGATTTATTATTACTGTTTTTTTGTTGTTTTTTTCTTTTTTTCTTTTTAGAGCAAGAATCACAAATGTTCTGAATTCAGATAATCTGTATGCTGTTGGCTGATACCTATCCCTTGTAATTTATTACCAACTCATAGTTTAGAATTAGTAGATGCATGTCCTTTTTCCTTCTGGAGTTGCAGGTCATGCCAACACAACAGCTGTAACTTTCTACCGAAGTGTTAATGTATAGTAAGAATGGAAAATATTTATTTTTTTTCTCTTGTAAATTGACAATGAAAACAATAGTGTGTACTATATCTTTATATACAGTCATTGCAACATAGAACTGATTGTACAGAGTAAAGCCATTGCAAATATGTGCTTGAGCTCACACCTCTGAGCAGTTTGAAACAGCTTGTTTCAATTTGCCTTGTGTATTTTAGTATTTAAAGTTTGTCCTGCACAAACAGCACAGTAATGACTAGAAACTTGGAAGCTGTCTTTTGTATATTAAAAAATAAATTAAATCTACCTTCAGAACTGTGCAAGCTGTGGGTTTTTTTGGTGGCAGAGAGTACAGAACTTCATGTTTGAGATCAAGTATGATCACTTGTACCTGGTGCTGAATACAGCGACTCCAGATTGCTGACTTAGCAACGTGTATTGTTAATTCTTAATTTTAATTTGTATACCCCTTGTGGATTCTTTTGAAGGATGTTCAGGCCTTTCCCAGCTCATGTGAAAGTGCTCCCAGTTACACGTGCTGCTTCATGAACGCTGGGCAGTGCAACCACAGCGCTGTAGAAAGTGGCAGCTGCAGCGTGTGGAGGTGATGCTATCTGAAGCACACTCGTGGAGCGTGCGATGCTGAGAAGGGCTCATAGGCACCTCGAACACTTTATTTCTTAACCTTCAGATGGACAGGGAACAGCATTTGCCTTTTCTGCTTTTCCCCTGGGGAGATGAGAGGAAACTTTCCTAAGACCGAGGACAAAATGATTCCTGAAGGAGGCTCACCTTGAACTGTACAGCACTGAGGGAAAGCTGTTGCAGTGCCAAAGAGGATTTTTGGCTCTCTTGGGCAATTGTTCCACTCTTGCACCCTCATATGGGTGTGTGCTCACGCTGTGCTGACGCCCAGATGGGGTGTAGGCTCCTTGGCAACGCAGGACTTCTGCTGTGACTGCTGAGCAGTCTGACTGTCACTAAGGTAAGCACGCTGCTTGGTGAAAGGCAGCTGTCAGTTTTCCAATTGGCCAGAGGGCAAATCAAGATGACACACACTGCTGTGTGCCTCCGAGTCCTTCAGAAGCTTAACCTTCCCCAGCTCTCACCCAGCTGTTAGCTCACTTACTTCTTAAGGCATCAGAACCAAAACGGGTCAAGACCTAGCTGTGGATGTCCCTGTTGATTGCAGGGGAGTTGAACTGGAAGCGTCCCTTCCACTTCCTAAGGATTCTAGGATTGCACCGTGTCTTTGCTGGGACACCACAATTTGCCTGTGGCTTTGTGTTCGGAGGCCCATCCCGGGACAGAGCTGTGCTCAGAGCCCGCAGTGTCAGTAGCAGGCATTGCTGGCTGCTTCCGGGCGTCGGCCGCGACTGCTGCCATGGCGGGGCACTGCTGTTCCTCAGCTCGGCACGCACCCTGCTGGGCTGTGCTGAGCGCTGCTGTGTGCCGCTCCTGGGCCGGGAGCACCGCTATGGATGGAGAAAGAAAAAGCAAGAAACGGAGACCCTTCTGGCTGAGAAAAGGGAGCAAGGATCGAGTTCCAGTTTCCACCTGGCATGCCTTCGGATCTGCCGCCTCTTGCTTTTGAGTGCTTGCTGCAAACCATTGTGGACTGGAGCACAGTTTATTTTATTCCAGCCAAGGGACAGCTCCATTTTTTAAAAAATTCTTTCTAGTTTGATCCAGTGCTCTCCGATTTGCGGCAGGTGAGACTGGACTTCACTCCTTCGGAGCGTTTCTGCCCTTTCGGGCTCAGACCGGACCGTACGGGACTGCTGGCGGCCGCGGTACTTCACACTCCGCCTCCGTTCCCCCGTACTAAGCGGGAAGGAGGAAGACTGATGACGTTTCCCAACGCGCCGGCACTCCGCACGTCACGTTCTCCCCTCGGGCGCACGGCGCGAGGAAGAGCCCCGCCGCGCCCCGGGGGCGGCCCGAAATGGCGGCGGGGGCGGGGCAAGATGGCGGCGGGCGCGCGGTACTTCTGCACGGCGGGCCGCGGCCTCGAGCCCTTCCTGGCGCGGGAGGTGCGCGCGCGGCTCGGCGCTACTGAGGTGAGGGCGGCACCGCGCGGGGCGCTGCCTGCGGCCGTACCCCCCCCCACCGCGGGGGGGGTCCTCAATGCTGACAGAAAGCGCGTTTCTGCGCGTCTGCTTGTTTCTCTAAGGTGGACTATGTCTTAGGGAAGGTTTTCTTCACCACCGCCGCGGAACCGGGCGAGCTGAAGGAGCTCAAGTCGGGAGAGCGGCTGTTCCTGCTGCTGAAGAAGCGCGTCCCGCTTTCCGTCTCTAGAAATAAAGGTACCGTTCTCTGCTCGCCCCTGTATAGAGAGCTGTCTGTGGTGTAGGCTGCTGCCCTTCGGGATTCACATCTCGATGGCACCTAAGCGTGATCTCTGTTGACAGCTGCTCTCGTGCTGTAAGAGAATGAAGAGCTGAGATTGAACTGCTTAAACTGCTTTTTCTTCCAGGGAAAATGCTGCATGAGATTAAAAGCCTTCTCACTGAGGAACCCAAGTCCTGCCTGGATGTTATCGCTACGTGGAGGAAACTTCGTAGTCGTGAGGGGAAAAAGGATGAGGTTTCTCAAGAAAGCCCAAAACCTCACAAGAGAAAACCAGAAGAAGAGATTAATATTGCATCTAAAAGACAGAAAACGGAGCAAGTAAGAGAGACTGTGTCTGAAGAATGTCAAGCAGGAGCTGGAGAGAACTGTGTGGTGTCAGAGGAGGAGAGTGACCAGGACTGCCAGACTGAAAGCAAGACTTCTTTAGAAGGCCCTCCCAAAAGCAGCACAGAGCAACCTGAGAATGAGAAGCAGAACTTCAGTTTCAGAGTTTCGTGTCGTTGTAGTGGAGCAATTGCCAAGATACTCACTTCACAGGTATGATAAAGTATCCGTGTTCTCACAGATTTTAGCAGAGGTGAAAGGAGACATGTAGTTTATTTGCAGTTTAAATTCTGTTTAGTAACAGTAGTAACAGACTGATCATGTCTGATCTCAAAGAAGAAGAAAAAAAAGCCGTAAAACCTGAATCTACCTTAAGAAAGTGGAAATACAAGTGCTGTTGTTAACTTCAGGACGCTGTTACTTTTTCCTTTTTTTTTTTCTTCTTTTTTTCAAATCAGTGCCTTTTTTTGAGGACTGGTGGAGGTAAGAGGCTGAGTAGCAGGGTAGGTGAAGCCTGGTGGCTGAGGAGCAAAGTGCACGTAGCTCTCAGCTGCCTGGAGGGCTGCTGCAAGGGCGGAGGAGCTGAGCGGCTCCCAGTTGTGACAGTTTGGAAGGGTGCTGCTTGGACATTCAAGAGTTTGTTTCTGAGGAGAGTGGTGCAGCCCTGGGACATGCTCTGGGCTGTGGATCTCAGCCTTACTGGGCCCCAAAACTCTCTTGAATGATGTAGAGACCTTTGGAGGTGCTTTCCATCCTATTTCCATCCAGCGCTATTCTCAGCTGCAATGTATTTTCACTGTGAAAAGATAATAATAAAGGTAGCTGCAGCGTATTTAGGTTTCCCTTACTTGAAGGTAGCAGTAGTTATCAGTAGATCTTTTTTCTCTACTGAAGTTGGTGCCTTGGGAAGATGGGATGTGCGAGGCTGCCAGCAGAAGCGTTTGCTTAAATTTGTGCTGTGTGTTTGAGCTGTTAGTCTGAAGGCAGAGACTTCTAGAGGTGACAAAAGCATTAAAACTGAGAATTGCACTTACACGTAGGTAGGTTTCCCTTTAGGTGATCCAGTTTGCAATCATCCAAAATACTTTGTGTGTGATATGCGGCCCTGAAATGACTACAGCTGCTTGCTCAAACTTGGGCAGGACTTGAATTTCAGCTTTCCACCCTCCAGGTTTACAGCAGTTCTGAGATGTTTGCACATCTGTCAATCTGTGCTGTTGTTCCTCTTTTTCGTACAATTTATTTTCTATGAATAAAGAGGGACTCTTCCTAGGTACTTACGAGGGCTGTGCAGTCAAGGCTGTGATCTGTAGTTTTCGTGTTTCTTTTATGTTTATTGCCTGATCCTCGTCTCTCCCTTTGCAGGAGATTGGAAGAGCAGTTGGCATAGCGCTAAGGAAGCAGTTTGGATGGCAGGCTGATCTGCGCGCCCCTGACCTGGAGGTAGGGCACTTGTCTGCTGGGTGGCCTGTTGCTTCATCCAGAATTGGCCCCAGAGTCCTTTATTTTTTCCTCTGTTCTCTTTGCTTGCAGTACCACAGCTTCCTCCCATTTGTCTTTCTGCTGCTGAGTTTAACTAGAAATCATCTGGTAGTGCTGAGCAGAGTTTTTCAGTGGCACGTGTACACACCTTGCAGAGCACTGTAGCTCCAGTCATAAACACTGGAAAGGCCAGCATGGGCCTGCACTGACTGGGGGAGGGACCCACACAGGAGGTGTCTCAAGATCTGGCACTCATTTAAACTGCTTGACTCTCCACGTGTGGAAAATGGAGCTCCCCGACCTGCCTGGAAGGATTATCTGTGTTGGGCTTCCAGCTGCAATGCTCCTTAATGGCAGTGCTTTTTTTAGAAAAACAGAGAATAAAAAATGGCAGGGAGTGAATGGCCAAGTGCTAGTATGCAGTCAGTGGTCTCCACTTACAGTAAGTTTATAGGTAAAAAAAAAAACATTATTTAAAAAAATAAAAAGTAGTTTCTGTAAAAATCAAAGTGCTTGCTGATGGATTCCTGACAAAAAGCCTCTCCTGGATATTAAATAATCTTTGAACCGGCCTTCAGTTTATCTTGCGTGATTACTTCCAATTAATCATAAATTTGTGAAGCATGTATTTTTACACTTAGACTGGGATTGGAAATTCATGGAATCATCTTCTGTGTCTGGCTGAAATGAGTTGAAGCTACTGCCATCTCAAGTTGAGAGATTCTGGTGTTATTCTTTCAGATCTTTCTACATCTTAATGACATTCACTCAGTCGTGGGGATTCCTCTTTTCAGGTAGGCATTCTCATCACCAGATTTGTTTTGGCAGCGCAGAACAGGCATAATTTCTAAATAGTCCTGCTGTCCTCTGTGTTTAGCTTTTGGATCAGTATTCTTAAAGCCTACCTGGAGTTTTCCTGAGCACATAGGCCAGGCTTGGCAGTGAGCACATGGCTAAAAGCAGACTGGTTTCTGTCTGTGTGCAGACCTGGGAAATTCAGTTCTTTTGGTATTTCATCTTACGTGGTCTTTTCTGGGTGGCTGTACCATTACCTTACATTGATTTTGGTGTCTACAGGCTTCCGTTGGCAAACAGGGAGTATATCAGAACAGCAGGCCTGCGGTCAACTGTTGCCTGGGCCATGGCATCTCTGGCTGAAATAAGTGTAAGTGAATGTCCATGGCAAAGATGCAGAGCCCTCCATAAGGGTGGTTTGCTGCTTGGAAGGGCTGAAGCTGGAGTTCTGGAGCAGTGTGGTGATTTCCATGCCCTGTGTGTTCATCCACATGGATAAAGGTTGCCTTGCTCGTGCTCAGAGTGCGCTGTCAGCAGGTGTCAGCCAGATACCTGCTCTATAGTTCCAGGTCTTTCTAAGCACAGTGTTACTCCTTGTACAGATATGTTTACACTGCAAGGGTTTTTTTCACTGTTGAGGTGTCAAAGCTGAAGTCTGGGGTTGTTTTTGCAAGGAAAACAGAAGCCTCTGTGATCCACAGGTTAATTTGTAACCAGTATCTGTCTGCTGTCCAGTCATGAATTTTCCCTATATGTGACCTCAACACTGGATGCATTGTATTTGTTAAAGCTATTCATGCTTTATACGATACCGTCTTACCAGCCAGTTTGGCCTGATAAAGCAATGACTTGTTATCTGCATTGGATTCTGTGCAGCTGGGTAGGAGGTGAGAAATCAGTACATGAGTGAGTAAGCTTTGTACTGAGGGAGGAGTGTGTCTTGCTCAGTGTGTGACAACCCCTTTATTCTTGCAGGTGGGTGCCTTCGTGCTGGATCCCATGTGTGGGCTGGGAACCATCCTGCTGGAAGCTGCCAAAGAGTGGCCTGTAAGTGTCTCACTCACAGTAGCGAGGGTTTGAACAAGACTTGCAGTTGCACTAAGAAAAAATCTGTACTGTAGTTATACCAGTGTCCATCAGTGAAAACCTGGAACCAAAATAATCTTTATAGACAGTTGTTTAAAGTGTCTTAGGACAGACATTCCTCCAGAAGGATGTAAAGCAAAGTCCTACGTGTTGTACAGGTGCAGTGAGCTCTCTGCATTTAATGGTCTGCAGGGCTTCTATTTGGCACCCATGGCTCTTCTTTTAAGAATGCCTGTCCTAGAAATGGAGGTGTCTGTGTAACAGAACAGCAAATTATCTAAAAGACTTTTCTGTTTTTATGTGAATAGGAAGCCTGTTACTGGGGTACGGATACAAGTGATTCACAATTAGAGGGTGCAAGTGTGAATATTAAGACCGCGGGCTTGGATGATAAGATTGAGTTGTTTAAAGCTTCTGTGAAAGGTATGTATGTAAGCTTTCAGAGTGAGACTTTTGAAGTGCAAAGTCTTTTGTGTTTCAGTGGTTGTATAGGTGCTCTTGAGGTGGTCTGTAATAGAGCTATCTTTAAAAATAAATAGATGGGTAGTGACTGCATAATTGTTTGCTCTGTGCCTCTCTGAAATTTGACAAGAATAAGCTCAGAATAGAATATTCTTCAGACACAGGCAGTAACTGTCTTAATAGGAAACCACAAAATGGTCTCTAGCCAATTCTGGAAAGGCTGGCACAGAATCACAGCGGCATTTAGGTGGGAAGGGACTATTGGAGATCTTTAGTCATGTCATCTGCTCGGAGCAGGGCTAACCCTAACGCCGCGTTCGGATTGCTCGCCTCATCCAGTAAGTCCTGAGCATCCTGTAGGATGAAGCACCCACGGTCTTCCCTTACGCCTGAAGTCTATACTTTGGTCAACACAGCCTGCTGTATGATTGGCTTTTCACCACGAGGGTGCACTGCTGCATCATTATCAAGTAAACTAAATACTCCTGGGATGCAGAAAGTTTGATTCTGTTAGAGCTTACACCTTTTCAGTATTTCCCTAAAGTGATTCTGGTTGTAATGCAATTACTGGGAGAAAGAATGGGTAGAGGAGAATCCAACATGTGGCTTTTTGCCTTTAGTACCTGTACATTTAAACATCTGTGCTTGAGCACTTGCAAGCTTAGCTCTTACTTTGCATTTTGCTTGTAAAGATTTACTGTGTGTTGAGAAGCAGCAGTTAATTTGGAACTGTGCAGTGCCCTGCTAGGGAAGTCTTGCTGTTGAGGCAAACATATCACCAGTAACAGAATGTTGAGAGCTGGGCAGTACTCTCATGGATTTGTCTCCACTCAGTGTGTGTTAGGCTGGTAATGTTTGTAACGTTGTTTGTGAGGGGAAAAAAAAAAGAAGAGCAGCTGTGAATCTAGTGGCATAACTCATGAAAGAGCTGGCAGAACATTCTGTCAGGTGAATGAGGGCGCGGCTGCTGTTCGTTTTGCAGACTGTCAGATGTCAGGGCCTACCTTTATTCTGCAGCGCTGCCGTTGCCCTCAGAAAGCTTTGATGCCGTGATTTCGGATATTCCGTTTGGGAAGAAGTTCAAGATCACAAAAGACATACAGCTCCTACCAGATATTCTCCAGGAGATGGAGAGGTATGTGTGGCCTTTGGTAGAAATGTAATGATGTCTTGTGATCTTAAATCCCAAGCTAACAATGTCTGCTTTGTTCGAAACACTCTCCGGTTCAGTAACATGATCCTGTGCAGACTGTGAAAGTCTGCATCCTTTACTTGTTCCTCAGAGGCTGCTGTGACTTGTCTTGCAGATAGTGGAAGTGCTGATGGCAGTGCAGGCTAAAAAGAAGTGAGACTAATTCTGAGCCATGATGGTATCGTGAGATGAAAGAGTAAAGGAGGGTAACCAAGCAAAATTTAAAAACAATAAAGCAATAAACATTTCTCAGTTGAGGCCTGTATAAAATCACATGCTTTCATTTTGGGTTCACAATCAAGCTTCTACTAGCCTGCCTTGGCAGGAAAGATCTCAGACTGGAAAGCAGTGATACGCATTTTCCTTTTTGACACTGTACTGGAATATCCAGCTAGCCACCTGGTCTTGTTCAGATGCCTCTCATCGTCTCTCACCCAGTCATTTTGTGGCAGAGTTATATCAAGCTAATAACAAGTTGCTTCTAACGGGCAGTTGAAGCTATCTGCCACCTAATTTAACTTTCTGGCTGAAAACAAGCCCTTTGTCTAGGATTGTTCAGCAGATGTTGGTCTCACGCAATGGAGGAATGTGGTGGGAAGATGGGGAAGAGGGTAGGTAGCTCCACAGAATGGCAGGGCAGTCTTCTGTCAGCTCACATTGACTGTCCCCTCTTTTTACCCTTGTTTCATGTTCTTATCTTCTGGTCTCATTTGTCATTCTAAGCAAAATATCTCCCTGGGAAGGGGGAAGTGAGGAGAGGACTGTTACCATGAGAGCCCTACCAGTAAGACTATTCAATGCACTTGCAGTGAGAGCCAGAATAGCCTTTTTTTCCTTCTTTCAAAGCCAAGTGTAGTGTTTCTTTTATGTGGTAAGAAAAAATAAACTATAAACAGTGGTTAATTTTCCTGTTTCCTGTATCTGACAGACTTGAAAGGTCAGTTGAGTACAGAAAGGGACAAATCTTTCAACATTTTCAAAGGGAAAGGCCAGCTTCAGAATTGCTTTACCAGCCTGGAAAGCTCTCCCTTTTGCTGTAATGGGAAGCTGTTCCTTTGCAGGCCAGTGAAGGCTCAGGCCTTGCTTCTCATATTGAGACTCAATTGTTGTAAGAATATGAGGAGCTAAGAAGCTGAGTCCCTCTTCCCTACTGCTCAAGTGGAAAGAGCTCCTAAGGTCAGAAAGGTTTGTGAGTCAGTACAGGGCCCGGTTCTCCCATTCGGCTGGGGAATTTAAATTCCCTTGGGCCAACTCAGTAAAGCAGTATTTGCAGCTACACTTAATGTGTTTAGGTGCTTCGTTGAATGCAAATGACGTCTGAAGTATCACTGTTGTTGAGTTCTAAATGAATCCAGGCAGGACGAACACGTAACCGTTATTATTTTCTGCAATTGCCAGAGTGCTTCGTGTTGGAGGGATTATTGTGTTGTTGCTGAATCAAGACCTCCGTAAGCGCATGGATGGCAGTGCCAAGACTGCTGAAAATGAATCTCTTAATGCCATTTCTGATGGTGCAGGTGAAACGACCGCTGTGAAAGCCTTGAATAATGATGGGAACTCATCCACCTCAGGGACTGGTGTCGAAGAACCTGTTCTCAGCTGTGGACAGATGTGTTTTGGGTCTCTGGTGCCAGATGGCATCTATGAAGTTAGTCTTGGAAAGACGGATGCTTTCATATACAAATACAGGAAGATCTCTACTGCTGGGAATTAGTGGCTTTTGTGCATTGTGCCAGTGTTGAACTTGAATCCTGATAGACTTGAAAGCAGCACGGCAGTGAACTGGTGTAACTCTGCTAGTCCAAACTCTGTGCCATTTGCTAGCTCACCTCAGTTTACTTGAGTGTACTAGGCTGTTGCTTTTCTCACTTTGGCTTTTAGATGGAAGATTCCTTTCCGTGTTTCAAATGTTTTTAATATAAACTGCTGTAACAAGGCATTGTCCTCAAATCCTTGTTTAGACAAATCCTCTCTATATCAGCATGAGTTCTTCATGAGAGAAAGACTTCAGATGCTGAAGTACCACAAAAACATGGTAATACTACATGGAAATGGGTTTTCATCCCCTTTGATATTCTTAGGAAGTGCTGCTTAAGAAGCCTCTAGCTATTCTTGAGGACTGGACGGAGAGCCTTACTACGTGCCTTGCAGTCTTGTATTATTTTAAAGCTATCTTATGATGAATTTGAATTGTTGCTATTCAGATACCATGTTGTGGAAAATAAATTATTTTTGGTATTAATTCCTTGTGGGGTTTGCGTGTATCTAATAGGAATGCTTCAGCTTTTAGTATGAAAGCTTATTTCTATCAAGATTATGTTTTTCCTTGCTTGATAACATTGCTCTAAAGGCGTAGTGTAGAAGCCAGAAATGCTTGCAGAATGCATTAACAGTTCGAGGTGACTTCTGTCTGCAAAGAAGCATGTAGATTTTTTGTTTTCTTTTTCTGAAAAGGGGGAAGTCTTAGTTAATCTAGTCTGTGTAATAGGGTTGCTGAGGGTGCATTGAGTCCCACTGTTGACGTCATGATGTTACAGGGCATTGGTCCCGGTGCTGACCCATGAGGAGCACCGCTTACCTCCATCCAGTCTGGACACTGAGCCACTGACCACCAGTGTCTGGGTACAATATCATAACCAGTTCCTTGTCCATCAGACGATCCACCGGCCAAGTCCATATCTTTCCTATTAGAGAGAACAGCGTTATGGGGGACCATGTCAAAGGCCTTGTCCTGACAGGTGACGTCAGTGTCTCTTCCCTTGTTCACTGATGCGGTTACGCTGTCGTAGAGCACCAGAACGTTGGTCAGGCAGGACCTGCCCCTGGTGAAGTCATGTTGGTTGTTTAGTATTACCGCTGTCTTCCATGTGCCTTAGCATAGCTTCCACAAGCATCTGTTCCATGGTCTTCCTCGGCACTGAGGTAAGGCTGTCTGGTCAGTAATTTCCTTGGTCATCCTTTCTGCACCTTTTAAAAGTGTGTGTGACAATGCCTTTTTTCCAGTCACCAAGGATTTCACCTGACTGCCGTGACTTTTCAAATATCACTGAGAGTGGCTTGGTGACTACATCAGCCAATTCCGTCAGGACTGTCTATTAGATGCATAAACCATTTTGATAGAGTATTATTGCATCCATTTGTTTTTGACAGTACAAATACACAAGTGGGTAAAATACGGCTCCAACAGGACCTAACAGTATTTAGTGAGAATTTTGCTCTATGCTCAGTGGTAGAGCCAAGCACAGAAGTGCAGGGAAGGCAAGCTCCAAGCTGTGCTTAGCTCTGATGCTGATATATCCTGCCCTTGCTTCCTGGTGTCTTGATTCTTCCTAATTCAATTTATTGATCTGTTGGTTGTTAGTCTTCTCTGTACAACTGTTTGCTGAATTTGCCACTGACTTTTTCTGCTGTCATTTAATGGATGATTATTGCATTAAGCATCAGTCTTTTGTTCTTCTCTCACTTCTCCCTTCTCTTCCCATCCCTACACTCACAATATGGGTTGTTTACCTCCATCATTTCTTTTTTTGTTCAGAGCCCATGCTTGTTGTGAAGCAGTCCAGCAGTCCCAGTAATCCAGCCAGCTTTTTTCCTGTGCCCACCTGGTGTGAAACACCACTCTGGTAACGAATGCATGGATGCCATGCACTGGAGGCAACAGTGGCTTTCAGGTGATGGCAGAGGATTGTAGTTTTGGATGAGCTGTGACAGATGCATCAACATAGCACAGAAGTATTTTAATTGTGGGGACTGGCACTGTCAGTTTGAGTGCTGTCTGGCAGATCAGACTGGTGCTTTGATCTGTTCACTCACCTGTCACTTCCATTAAGCACTGGAAAATGCAAAGCCGCTCCCCTCCAGAACTCGCCATTCCTTTGTTGCTGAGGTGGCATTTTGCCCAGACAGGAGAGGCTTTCTGGGGCTCTAACTTCCTGCTGCATTGCTTGTAGTGAATGCGTGGTGTAAGCACCAACCATGCTGTGATCCTCCTGGTTTATGACCTCTTTCTCCTTTGCAAGACCACTTCCAAGCCACGACATTGTAGCTGTAGATGTTTTGACAGAGGCAGGTTTGCCTAAGCAGGAAGAGACCTTCCAGGAATGGAGTCATTTCACCTTTTCTTGCAGGGCAGGCCAGGTGCTCAGAACGAAAATCTCGTTTATTTCCAAATTATGCAGGAACTTCATATACAAGGGATATATAAATATGTGTATAAAAGATGCAGGCACATATTTTTTAGTTTTAGGAAAAGGTGTATTTGAGCACTGGGAAATGGGGAAAGGCAACAAACTTTAAGATCAAATGCAAATGTACTGAATCATAACATTACACAAAATGCCCTGGGAAAAAGGATATAATTCTGTCTAGGATTCATCTGGCAACAGTGACTTTTTCTTTATTTCTTTACTTACAGATCCTTGAAAATAGAAATAGTGCAAAATATTGCTGCAAATGAAATAATCACTTTGATATTCTGAGATGCAGCAGAGAGCAAGTAACAAAAGAAATGCCTTAATTATCAAATAACTTGCACCCAACTTTGTTGATACAAGTTATCTTGGGTAGCTAACAGGTTATAATTACTGGTATTCATGTTGTTCTAGTGTGTTACCCAGTTGTGCTGGACTGTGTTGTAACTGTGGTTGTGAAGTGTTTCCAGTTAACTTCTTGGTTATTACTTTAAAGGATTCTCCTCTGCGACCTCAGTCACGCCTGCCCCTTCAAACTGAGCATGATAGCAAAAGCCTCTGTTCACGATCAGACTTGACCCACGTGGCAAAAATCACACTGAGCAAAAGTTGCAGCTGTGATGCAGAATCCCCTCTGTAGGAGCACAGTCCAATGCATGCTTCCACGGAGCCAGGAGAATAGTTTTGCATGTGCTATGTGTAATCTGATCTGAAAGTTACAGAGCAGGTAATCCACCTCGGTGGGTGGCCCTCGCCAGCCTCCCACAGCATAGCTCTGCAAAGGGCAGCTGGGGGGAAAGTCTGTCCCCAGCTGTCTGCAGGCACCCACCTCCCAGCCTTGGCTCAGTCTTCATTAAGCATTTTTCATCAGGCTAGGATTTTCATTAAGCTGCCAGATTAGCTATGCACAGCAAGCCTTTCCTCAGGCCTATGCTTTCTAAACTTTTTAAAGGAAAAAAAAAGCTATGCCTGTGCATTACAGCTGCTCGAATCAAAATATTTCCTTTGGCATGAGAGAAAGCATTGTGCATAGCCTTGTGAGTTCGGATGGTTCAAGCTCACACTGGATTCTTGTTGTTAGGGGACTTTAGCTCTCCCTCTGTAATAGTTGTAAACAACCATTAATTTTACAGCTAACTTTTTGTTTTTGTTTTTGTGAAAGTATTCCCCTTCCCTACTTCAGCATGAAGCATTCAATCCAACACCAAGAACTGCAAGCTCTAGGGAGGGACAGCTCTACTCATGAGAAAAAATATCACTTTGCATGTGATGGAGAGGGAGCGGTTGTTTTAGTCCCACGGTCCTGCTGCATGAGCCTTAGAACACTTCTCAGTTGTTCTTTTGTTTTTTAATTACTGGTTATTCCACTTGTGTGAGTGAATCGGTTCATGCAAGGCCCAATAACTGGAGATGAGAAGGAAAGGTGTGCTCCACTTACTGGCATCACATGCTGCCTACTCAAGGGAAACCTGATGAAGCCTTAACACATAATTAGCTCGCTAGAATGGTGCTTTACTATTACCAGTCATGAGGAGCAGAAGACCTGCAATGTGCTGGGTGAGGCTTTCTTCCACAAGGAAACTGGTTGCTGTGATGATGCACCTGCAGAGATCAGCTGCAGCCATGCCTTGGAAGTATGGTGATTCTTCTGAGATCTGTTGCCACCAAAACAGAAATAAAAAGTGGGGTTTACAGTGAACATCCATTCCCCTGCAGGAGAAAGGGGAGGGATGCTTAGAAACAGGCACTTGTGCACCTGGCTGGTGCCAGGCAGACCAACAGTAGAAGCAACTCTATACCTACAAGTGCCTGTAAGTAGAAAGTAATCCTCTCTAGGATCAAACCAATGAGACTGCTGCATACGGATGCTTTTGTAGCTGTGCTATCAACCTCCCAGTTTTACATGAGCTATGTGATCATATAGCTTCAGCCACAAAAGATTCAGGATGTAGGTGCAGTATGGATTTATGCAAACACACCATGATAGAATTTGTTCTCTGTTTCATCTTTGAGTTTAAATTTAAAGTAACTTGGATGGACATAAATGTTCCAGTTTCTGAAAGCTGAGGAGTTTCCATGCAGACAGGTTTTGCCATAATTATTTAGCATGTGGCTCCCGACGTCACCTTCTGAAACATCTGCTGCTGGATGTCCTCCAGAGATGCTGGAATGCAGTTTTCCAACCTAAGGTCTGCTAACTCCTGCAGGGGCAAGGGGAAAGGCAACCTTTCTATGCAAGCTAGCATTTCATTCCTGCCTTGTTCTTAGGAAATGGACAAGGTGAGCTGTGCTGTCACTTAGGGAGCAGGTGACATTTGTACTGCTGGATTGTCTTTGACAGGTTGAAAGGGATGTTGCACAAGCATACTCATTGGCTGGCAGACATGCTACATGTTAATAATGCACCTCTGAGAGATACCTGCTGGAGAAGTAGATGAGGTGCTCTGGTCTCCCCTCCTGGTGCTGGTAATGCTCCTCCTTTCCTACACACAGCTCTCATTGCAATTGGTTCCTGTCAGTCCTTCTCTGCCCTGCTCCCAGTACCAGTTCCGGTGTCCAAAGACCAACAAGTGCCAGCAGCCCTCAGAAAACATTTCCTTTTATGTGGGAGCATGACTACTTATTCCCTTGTCTTTGTCCCCCCTATCCACAGGATACTACTTTCTTTAGCGATTTCCCTCAGCAGTACATGCTGGCTGGGGCAGCAGTGTCTGTGCCACTGAACTTGCAAGGAAGAGAAAAGGAAGGGCCAGAGTGGCTTTCTTTCTTTCTTTTCTCCTCTCTCTCTTTCTCTCTTTCCTTTCCTTCTCTCGTTCTCTCTTTCTCTCTTTCTCAAGACCATTTCTCTCATTTTTACTTTCCATGTTATTCAGAGACACCAGCGCATCCTGCCACTGGCACCCTGCTCTTTGACATGACACCACAGAAATGACTGCTTTACAAGGAGGTAAATAGCCATGCAGCTGTATACAGCCAAGGCAACCAGCGCAGAGGGTCCCGTCCTGCATAGGTGCAGCTCCTTGAGCTTGCTCTGGTAAGGTGGTGCTTTCCCCTAACCACCGGTTCTCTAGCTGAAGATTCACGCCTTTAGATTTAAAGAGGAAGCATGCAAGGAAGAAGCTGAGTCTTCAGGCTGCCCACATTGTGATGGGGGAGAGAAGTATTTTTTTTCCTGTGAAGTATAAAGACTTTGTGTTTAAGGAGAGGGAGAAAGCGTCCAAGATGCACTCCTGCCTTTTTACACTTAAATTGGGAAGTATCCCAGGCTTGGCTCTTCTTCCTGGGCAGCAGGAGTATACCAGGATGGAGTGATGTGTGGGGGTCTCTTCACCTCCCTCCCACCTCCAGATCCAACCAGGCCCTCCACATAGCTTCCCTTCCCGCACTTTCTTTGGGACATACTTATGACCACAACCAACACACAGTGTGGACGTTGGTGTTTTAGATCTTAAATGGCAGCTGGTCAGATGGGTGGTGAGCACAGTAAGCCCTGGAACTAATGCTGCCTCCAGCCTCGGTGACGTATGTTCTGTGGCTTTGGGGTGCTGTTGAGAACAGTAAGGGTTCATGGTCCCTGGAGGCACCACAGCAGCACATCGCAGTGATTTGACTGAGGGAAGTCTGAGGTGAGAGCTGGTGTTTGTGTCTCTTGGTACGCATGGGGTTGGCTGAAGCTGGAAGGAGTTGTGACACCAACACCTGTATCTCTAGTGGCTTCAAAAAGAGCTGTTTGCTTTGCTCTGCCTGATTGTTTTGATTCAGGTAAGGCTGACAGCCTCCAAAGGATCGGATGGCAAGGAGCAGCAGCCCAGCCCGACCCTGTGGCTCTCGAGGCATGGAACGTGTCCTGCAGTGCCTCAAAGCTGCTGTGTCCAGATTGGTCCTTGGCATAGCCTTTGTGTCCCTGTGGGTGTTGCGTTGAGAAAAAGGAATAGGAAGGTATTTGGGTGAACAGGAATCAGAACAGAGAAACCCACAGGTTTTCTGTAAGATCAGAGAAAGCCCAGGCAATACGTGGGAATGGAAAGCAGGCTTCAAGCAGAGAAACAAGCTCGACGCCCGAACACCACTGCCAGCGCCGCCATGGCGCACGGCGCGGCGCTCACGTCCCTCGCTATCTCCGTCCCGCCCCGATGGGCCTCGTGGCTTCATCGCCTCACGCGGAGCTGCTGCTGCGGCGCATGCGCAAAAAACACACGTCCGCCGCTCGCCGCGCACGCGCGGCCCGCCGGGGCGGGGCGGCGCGCATGCGCGTTGTGGCTGCGCGGCGCCATGTTGCCGGACCGGGGCAGGGGGCGGCGGTGAGCGCTGCGGTCCGGCGCCCTCCCCTCCCCTCAGCTGCCCTCCCCCGTCCGGGGCTGCGGCCGAGCGGGGCTTCCCCCGGCACCATGAGCGGTGCCGGCGGGCGGGTGTGCGACCTGTCCCGGCGTAACCCCCAGGAGGACTTCGAGCTCATCCAGCGCATCGGCAGCGGCACTTACGGCGACGTCTACAAGGTACGGGCCCGAGAGTAGGACGGCCGGCACTCGGGACCAGCATCGGTACCTGCGGGCGTGCGGGCCGGGCCCCGGGACAGCTCCGCGTTGGGCCTTCTGTCGGGCTCCGGAGCCGCGTCCCGTCGTTGCGGTGCCGGTTCGGGTAGCCGTGCCCCGTGCTGCCGCTGTCCTGGCCCGCTGCGGGCTCCGAGGGTGGGAGGCACCTGTGCGCACCTGGGGTGGCGGGGCTGAGCCTGGAGCTCCCTTAAGGCTTACGAGCGGCATCGCAGTTTAGTTAACGAAGGGCAGGGCTGTGCCGGAGCGGTCCGAAGCGTTCTGCGATGGGAGGTTCAGTCGCTTTAAAGTAGCGCTGACGTTACCTCTGCCTTGAAATGAGCGTCCCTAGGGTGACGTCTTGTTTGGGTAGAGCAGTCTTTAGTTCAGGCTGTCTCGCTTGGATGTAAGAAAAGCTTCAGCACTCGTGTACCTGCCTTCTCAGTGTGCTAACCCCCAGCCCGATTCATGGCTTTATTGAAAAGGGTTATTGTGTTGTCTTGCCTACCTTGCTGCTTTGCAGTATTAGTGTGCTGTGCTAATAGCTATCCAAGCCTGCTTGCTTCACACTGTTTCTTATTTTTCTGCAAACTGCCCACTTGATGTTTATTGCATTTGAAACTGGTCTGCTGCCTGCGATCCCTTACTGATTGGGTTTGCTCAGTGCTCTGTATGTGACTGATGGATGTGAATTCTGTTTTCTGTGTCCACGGTTTTATTTTAAGGATGTTACCTCCATGCGTAGGCTGAATATATCTATTTACACTACCACTACGTGAGTGAGGCCTGCTAGTTTCTGTTGAATTTGTCATAGTTTTCTTGGTGATTATTATATTTACATTGCTGTCACCGTCGGTTCGCTGCTTGGTTAGCAGTCAACATTCAGCACGGCTTGTAACTTTTTGTTCTCTCTCAGAATGGATTTGTCTGTGTTTCATGTTTGCATGTGACAGGTGAGATGGAAGGTGACGTATTAGAACAAGGATATGTTGGGCTAAGTTTAAAAGTATTTATTTCTTGTTGGCAAAAGCGAGATAAACATTTTCTTACTTTACAACTAGGTTGAGAACAGCATAGGGAAAATGAGTCATGCTTTTCTCCTGAGAGAGTTATTGCCCATTTCATTTCGAGGCAAGGTGTTGCCCAGGGTGCCTTCAAAGAGGAATGTGAAATTAGTCTGAGAATCATAATGTGGCGTGGTTACTTCTGTGTCACAAAGAGGAAGTAATACACTCATGTATGTTATCCACGTGCGAGCTTAGTAGGCCTTTGTCCTGAATTTGTGAGGGGGTTAATATTAAAGCCTCTTTGATTTGCTTAGTCTTGCTTTCTGTGGGTGAACTTTGCGGTCAGTGAAGCAGTCAAGCAGAGCTGAGGTTACTGATGTAAACACAGAGCTCGTCGGTGGTGGGGTTTCAGCAGATCTGAACCAAGTTCTGGGTGTACTCAGATGACCTCAAACTAGTCCTTGAAAACTTCATTTTTTGCCCCCTTTAGCAGGGAGAGCCGTATAGGAAGGTGTATTATTGCGGTAACAAGAGGACGTCTCCTTGTGTTGACATTCTTTCTGTATGCTGACCTTTCTGTAACCTGTTTTCCTGGCGAAGTTTGGAGGAGCTGAAAGCAGAGCGGGCTGGCATCCACTTCCTCAGCTCTTTTTCACTGAGCTGAGCTATGGAAATGTGTGGGCCTGCTGTTAGACAGGTGGAACATTTTAAATAACAAAACAGATCTTAGTATTTATAAGAGCCAGTGGCGTGGAATAAACTAATGAGTTTGTAGTAAGAAAAGTAATGGGTAGTGTTTTCCATGTGATGAGCTCTTTATTGGATATGCATAGTCAACCTTATCTCTTCCAACCAATGTTTATTGTAGGAGATGAAGCTGGATCTAGTTTTGTCTCATTCTTAGTTATTAGGATATCCCAGGGGTATAAACGCTGACATAATGTTTTCTGTGAGGGTCTGAAAGATGCCTAAAGGACTTAATAAATAACATTCCACTGAAAATATGTTGCTGTGATAGATAAAGCAATATTACAGAGCTCTCATTATCCATTTAGATACAGTGGAGGATTTATAATTGATTCCCTTGTCCAGTGATGTCTCCTGGCAGGATTGGTGAAGTCAGTTAATGGCAAAATCAAGTTACTACCTTGGTAGCCCAGCTGTAACAAAACACAGACGATCTTCTAGTAGTGTTTTCTTGGAGCTAAGTAATCTTCTGTTCTGCGTTTTGTCTTCTCACTTGTCTGATTTTCTATGTCTTTACGATTGTACTTGTTAAATAACTTAATCTCTAAAGCAGACTTTGTATGAACTGAGAGCAGAATTGCTTTTCTGGCTGTAGTTGCGTGTTAGCAGAATTCTTATTTTCACCTTCTGTTTCTGTTGAATTTTCTCATCTGTAACAAGACTGTGAGAAAGGGTGAAGGCCTGTGCTGCTGTCACACAGTGAGTTCTGTCTTCTGTGTTTCTGTATTTCACTGTTAAGAAGACTTACATTGCGTGACACGGCCAGCAAAGCGTAAGGGAGGGCTTGTCCTTTTCACAGCCAAAACAGCATTACCCCATCCTGCCCCCTTTTGGGAAATAATTTTCTGGAGTGAAGTGAGGCAATCGCTTAATTACTTTATTTTGTCGGAGTTTTGGAGAGGTATATATATTTTTTTGTCTCTTGGTATGAAATTACCAGTCTGATCAGACCTGTACCCAAGTTCTGTTTAGTTTTGGGTTGCAACTTCCACATGGGATGTTCTAATGACTGTATTAATAATTAACATCCAAGTGCTGTAGTTTTCACATCCATACTAATACCTTTGGTTTTGTTGGTAACTCCGTATAGATTTGAAGCATATTCCGAGGTGACTGTCGGTCCATTTTGTTTGTTCGTATAGTTAACTTTTATCACTGTGTATCTTAAAAAAAAAAAAAAAAAAAAAAAAATCGTTTTGGTTTCGTAAGCATTGAACTTATTTGCCATTGTACAGGTTTTTCGTCTACTGTGGGTGCACCCTGCCAAAGATTCTCAGCATCTTAGAAGAAGACTTTTCTTTCCATTTTACTGGAAGTGATGCTTAATGATAATTAGACTGGACTGTTGTTTCTGCGCAGCTATTGGTTGTGTCATGTCTGCTTCACCTCACTTCTTTTCGTTTGCTTGACATCTGATTTCAGAACAGAAAAAGGCCGATTTGTCTGCTCTCCTGTCCTTTGGTTTGGATATTATTTTAAGTGAGGAAAGTCACATTTAACCACCTCAACTGTTTGAGACCAAAACGCTCAGATTCTGTTTCAGACTTTGGTTTCTGACAATGCTCCTATGTTTTGCTGGGGGAGAACGTGTCCAGAAGAGATGAACCTGAAGAGTCTTCCATTTTGCGTACAGGATTAATTTCTCTCCTGTGCTTCTCTTTCCTGGGATGATCTGATAAGCCATCCATTCTTTAGGAGCAGAGAAGATGCAGGAATATTTCAGCAGTGCCTTTCACTTGTGTGTTTCTGATGCACATTTTAGTATTCTTATGTACCTTGCAGTTGTTCAAGCTCTTTCTGAAGGATAAAGATCCTTTTTGAAGGATCTATATTTCAGGATTTCTTTGTTAAACAAAACATCCCTTGTTTTCTAAAATTGTAGCCCTGTCAGGCTTTGGTGTCGTGCCTCCTACCAGAATGTGGAATGCTATTTATTTTTACCAGAACTGTTAGTAGTTCATTTCAGGTTAATTACAGCTGTGACTTCCTCCTAAGCTGTTAGATCAGATCAGCACATCTTACTATTGCCTGAGAGCCAGGGGATTCCCTGCCCTATTCCTAGCTTTAGTCGCTGTCTCACTGCTTATCTTGCATCAGCTCTGGAGCTCAGCGTGCTGCCCAAGCCAGTGTGCTTAGCTAGCCTTGCAGAAAAGGGACCAAAAAAGGAGTCAGGTGGATTGCTGCATGCTGAGCATGGGCTCAGCTCCTGGCTTTGAGAGGGCGGCAAGCAGGGAATTGGGCAGCATGTAGGGTGGCAGAGCTCACCTGGGTCTTTCTGTGCTGCAGATGAGTTATCCTAGGAAGTAGCAACTTATTTAGAAACTGCTTGTCCGTGTTTGGTCAGCAGTTAACGTGTGAAGTAGTTGAGACCAGAAGCAAGCTATAATTACTGTCTTAGACTTTGCTTTTTGGCCCAGTTTCTCTTGTAGCATTGCATATTTGATGTTACCAGCCTCCATTTGAAGGACAAATAGCTGGCAAGTGATTTACCTCTTTGGACCCTGGATTTTATGGCTGTACTGCACAGGCCTCTCCCTGTTGTGTGTATACTGCTGAGGCATGTAGTAGGCACGGTACTAAATGTGGGCATTCCTCTTCCTTTGCAGACACATCCCTTGCACATCTGCTTGTCTTCTGCTTGGCTAAGCAGAGCTCATGCATGGAGCTCATCTGACTGCTGTGCTATTCCATAGCTCTTCCATTCTCTATTTTGGAGTAATAAGATCCCTCCAATTGTGAGGCAGTTTTGATTAACAGAATTTTGTATAATGCAATAACAACAACAAAAAAAGACTTTTCTATCTTATATTTATAGTAAGTGGCAGCTTTTCAGGTAACATTTTGATCTGCCAACTGTCTTCACAGCGGTGCTGGTAGTGATTCCTGTTTGAACAGGCAGCGCTTCTTCAGCTTGACTTAAGTTGTTGGGTTTTTTTGTCCTCATTCACTGGTTCTGATGAGTAGCTTTGTATGGCTTTCCAGAGCCCACTGTAAGGGTTGTATACATTTAGTGGTATGCCTGTGGACCAACAACGCCATCTTTGCTTCTGGAAAACCCATGCAATGCATTCTTGTTGAAACAGTTCACTTCTGTAAGTGGGGAATTGTACCCGTTTTGATTTCTAGATAGATGACATTGTGGTAAAGATGGCGAAGTAGGGATTGTGTTTTGTGAAGTCTGCCAGAAATGCTGGCGGGAGGTAAAGCTGCTGGTGTGTGCTGTTGCCTCATCCTCATGAGGGCTAGGAGTTGACCCCCCCCAGAAATGTGTTTTTTTTGACAGAGACCACGAGTCTTTGAAACTGTTGATTGCTTTTTCTGACTCAAAAGTACTTGTTTGAAATTGCTCTTCAGCCAGCTGTGCCTTATTTATGCTCTAATTTCAAAACCTGTATGTCCATTACAGCTTGACTGTGATTATGCTGAATGAAAGCATAAGGCAGGTCCTCAGCATACCAAGCTATTGTGTAGTGTGTACACAAGCATTCTCCCAGTAGGCTTCAGAGCCAACTATTATTTTCAGAGTGTCAGTACAGTTGGAAGTGCTGTATGTTTTCCACTGTCTCATTTATGGGTGCTTGGGCAGGGAATTGTTTTCCAACAGATGTCTCCAAAGCGATTTGATGAGATCTAGGAACGCTTGTTGGGGTACCTGGTCCTCATCTTTTGTGAGGAGCCCTTGTACCTCATACCTTTAGTGTTAATAATCGAAATGGAATAGGATACAAACTGCTACCTTATGTAGGTTGCCGATTTCAAGTCGTGTTGTCTTAAGGAATAACTCATGCCCTGAAGCAGCTGGTAATCAGCCCTTCCTGAGGGCAGTGCTGACCCACGTTAAATCAGGTTGTGTTCCTGCTTTCTAATATTTATGAGTCCAAGAAGATAATGGTTGAGAGAACGGCCAGCTGGCTGAGGAGTCCTGCTACCGCTGGTGTTGGAGCAAGGAGGAAACGCTGCATCTTTTTGGCTTCAGCATTTGTTCTTTCCCACCCGCAGTTCTTCAGTGTCCTGCTCTCAAAAGAAATGTTTGTGACAGGAGGGATGGTATCAGCTGCAGAGTGTGGAGAGGGCAGGTTTGGCGAAGTTGCCGGCTGCTCAGCATTTCTTCCTTTGGCTGGGATGGAGCACGTCCTGCTGTGGTTGTATCTGTAGATTTGTCTGTCTGCTGTTGATAACTTTTCTGGCATTACTGTCACGTGGTAATTAACAACAAGAAGCTCACGTGTTTTATTTGGCAAAATTTGCTTCAAATTTTTCATTAGTTCCTACCCAACTTATGTCTTAGTTTGGTTGCCGTAACATTCTGCAGAGCACAGTGACCTTCAGTTAGAGATTCCTGACAGCTGAACACAGCATGAGGTGTGTGCAGGGAGGATGTACCAAACAACTTGTCTTTGTCAGACTGGCAGCATCCCTGAAGCCTCTGCAGTGGTCTCCCAGCTTTGTTTGCACATCCCAGCTGAATGCAGGATGCCTAACTGTAGATCTCGCTGTTTCCACTCACCGCAGTGGTATTTCATTGATTTCTCTTGCTAGCTGTTTCAAAACATGTCTTCTAGGATAAACAAGACTTGCAGATTATCTTATATCTTCATTAAATTATAATTAATCTTTCTTGTTGATCTCAGAGGTTAAAAGTATACTGGCTTTCAGTTTGTGAACGTCTGGCCTCTGTTTCTTCCTATGAAAGTAGGTGTTAAGGAAAAGCAGTAAGGAATAAAAATCCTACTTCAGCAGTGCCACTTTGTCTCTTGAGTCACCTTCATTCTCTGTTATGGATGAAAGGAACCGGTATTTTTGCTATTTTTAGTATCTGTAGCATCTTTGTTGCTGCCACAAAGCGATGATCGGAAACACTGCTGCCATCAGGGGAGCACACAAATAATGGCTTACTGGGAAAGGACTGCCAGGCAGATTTTGTTTTTAACTCTTCTTTCTGTAACCTGTCACATTTGGACCACTGTCTGACTTCCGTGGGTTTCTCACTGATCTCAGGATCTATTCATAATCATCTGCCTCCAAAATATTTATAAATGCCCGTGCTTCCAGCATCACGGAAGAGCACAGCCACCGCAAGGAGCAACAAGAGGTCTGAGGTCAGCTGTGCAAGGAACTACCTGAGTAGACCCCTAAACACAGGAATGCACACTGCATTTATTTCCAGACTGGCTATTTTTTGTAGCATTTTGATTTGTCCTGCTTCTTTTCCATCAGTTAAGGCAATGGAAAAGCCATCAGCCAGCTTTCAAGATGCTGTTGGGTCAGTGCCTTACAGCACTTGATCAGTTGTGGCTTTGTAGAGCAGTGCCGTGGATCAGCGTTTGCTTTCTTTTTTATAAAGTTAGCTTTAAAATATATTTGAGAAGGGGAATCTCGCTAATAACCACAAGCCTCTGATCTGCTAAGTGACTTAAAACCAAGACGATTAACAAGTTAAAGGTGGTGGCCTCTCTGTGTCATTAAATTATATAATTCTTCCACAGATCTGGCACTTTTTTGCTTTGAAAGTGGATGGGGAAAAAGGAAAAAGCACGACAGGCCTCGTGTTCTGGGCGCTGCATAGGACACAGAGTGGAGTTTGGTGCAGCCAGTGACTGTCCTGTGCGATGCAGCACTGGGCACTGAGAGTGCCCTGTGGAGAGGGGAGGCAGGAGCTGAGCATCCTTGGGAGCAACCAGGATTATTGTTAATTATGTTTCTTTTAATGGCTTTTTAAGAATTTAGTGACATTATTCACTCGGTTGTGGAGCTACTGTGTATGGAAGGGAAAGGCTATTTTAATTCTTTCTAAATCGTTCCTTTGCACACTTGTCTTCTTTGCAGCCTTACAGGGAGAAAGCTGTCAGTGACTGAGTGCAGGGATCAAGGGGCAGGCGGTACCTACAGGAGCAGAACGTGTTGTGTCTCCCTCTTGGGAGTCGCAGAAGTAGTTGCACACTGCAGGGTAGCAGCACGTGATCCTCCCTGGGCCCTGCTTCTCTGCTTTGAGATCTGTCCATACTGTGATTACTTTTCAAGCAACAGTTCAGTGGCCAACTTGTTGGAATTTAACAGGGAAGTACAGCACAGTCAAGGACTTGCATAACATGGCGCTGTTGTGTGCCAGCACAGAGCTTCTTAAGCATGCTTGCAGTTTCAGAGCTCAGTACAGAGCTCTGCTGAGAAGGACTGGGGTTGTGGTTGATGAAAAACTTAACGTGAGTCAGTGGTGTGTGCCTGCAGCCTGGAAGGCCAGTGCTGTCCTGGGTTCCATGAGAAGAGGGGTGGCCAGCAGAATAAGAGAGGGGATTGTTCCCCTCTACTCCGCCCTCATGAGGCTACATTGGTAGTGCTGCAACCAGGTCTGGGGCCCCCAGCACAGGAAGAACGTGGAGCTGTCATAGAGGGTCCAGAGGATGGCCCTAGGGTGGAGCACCTCCCCTAGACAGGCTGGGCTTGTTCAGCCCAGAAAATAGAAGGCTGTGGGCAGGTCTCATTGCAGCCTTCCAGTGTTTAGAGAGAGTTTATAAACGTGAGGGAAATCAGCTTTTTAGACAGTGATAGATAGGACAGGGGGAATGGTTTTAAACTAAAGGAAGGGAGGTTTAGATTAGATATCAGGGGGTTCTTCACTGTTCTTCACTGACAGAGTGGTGAGGTGCTGGCACAGGCTGCCCAGAGAGGCTGTGGATGCCCCTTGCCTAAAGGTGTTTAAGACCAGGTTGGATGGGGCCCTGGGCAACCAAAAGGTTGACAGCACTGCACGTGACGGGGTTGGAGCTTGATCTTAGGATCTCTTCCAACCATTCTGTGATACAGGTTAGCTGCTTATTGTGTTTGTGACAGTTTGCTTTTGAAGAAAAGAAATCCAGTATGAGAGGATCTGCTGGAAGAAGACTTCCTACAAGTTTGTATTGGAGAAGAGCATGCAAGCTCTAGAGTTCTCTTTGGTTCAGTCATCAAGCACAGTCATGGATTATTTTATCTAACTGAAGTATATGCTGTAAGCTCAATGAAAAATAAATGCATGCTGTATTTGCAAGTCTAACCTCACATTCAACATAAATATGCAAGACATTTTAATTTATTGGCTCCTTCTGTGGCTGTTCTGCTTTAAAATAACCCCAACAAATGATTTCATTGTTTTGGGTCCTTGTGTTTCTCAGTTGCACTTTGATTCTGCATTGTTAGAGAATCTCAAGCGGAGGGCACAGAATAAATTGCTGTGTTGTGCTCTCTAAATACTGATTTGATTGTTTGTTTTTTTGTAGGCTAGAAATGTCAACACGGGTGAGCTAGCAGCAATCAAAGTAATAAAGTTAGAACCAGGTAAGTGGTCACTGAAAAATATTTACGTTTGAAATATGTTTTTGTAAAATCAATTGAGTTTAGTATTGAAAAAGGGATAATCACTGTAGAGGAGAAAATACTTTATTTCAAAAACTGACATACATGACAAACAAGATATGAGAGGAAAAAACATTGGTTAAGGGAAAGCTGATTAAAATTTCAGCATGAGTTGGGTTTTTTGGCTTTAAGTATTGTATTTTCAACTCATGTGGTATGAAAATCTGCAGAGAACAAAACAAGTGAGGAAGGCAGAAAATTCCCCTGGAGAAAACGAGAGGGAGAAATAAAAAGGAAAGGTGATAAAATAGGTGAGCATTAGTTGAGTATTGAGAACTGAGTAAATTTCCTGCAGTTCTCTGGCAAACTCTGATTAAAACTTTATTATATGATAGATTTTTGCTTGAACCATGCTTATGTTGTTATCTTATAAGTGCATATGCCAGCATTTCTGTTGCAGGCCTGTAAGTGCTGTTCTGTTGATATGATAGACATGTTGAACATGAGTGCAGTAATTTGGGGAGTAAAATGGCCAGCCTTTTTGTTTGACTCTTTAACTGTTGGTGTTCCATCTCAAGGTTTATGTTGAGGTAAGTGATGGAATGCTTCAAGTATTAGCTGGTTTTATCTTTACAGAGTTTGCAGCTGAGAACTCAAAGGAATTATTGCTTTCTCCTTTTTTTTGTGTGTGTCTGGAGGTGTAGGTATGTTTGGAAATATAAATTCAAGACACAACAGTACGTTACAGCGTAGTTCCAAAAGTGTACGTTCATCATGCAGCTTTGGTTGAATCTGATGGTTGTGTCAAGTTCTGCTGCTGTAGCTCATTAGAGCAGCTCCCATCATTGGAGGACGTGGCTGTGCGTAGCGCGGGTTTTCTGCAGCCGGCTGCGTATCCCCGTGGAACTGTAAAGCTAAAGCAGGGAAGGAGAGTTGCATAGTGAAGAAAGGAGAAAAGACAACGTCAACCTTTCATGTAATGCAGTTGTTCACTTAGCTGACTCCTTGCCCTCTTTCGGAAATATGGAGTGGCTTATTACATGGAGTGGGACTCGCTGAATGACACTGCGCGCATTATCTGAACAGCAGGCAGCATGAGGATGCGCTGCTGCTGAGGGAGCTTGCTCTTGTGCTGTGTTGGCAGGGATAGCGTCTGGCATCTTGCAGCTGAATCAAGTATTTTTGGCAGCCTTTGGGCACTAAGAGGAGTACAAAAAGATGAGCTTTAGTTACCCTGAGTTTGCTTGGTGAGCTCAGCTTTTCTCTTCGTAATTGTCGCTTCTAGTTGGAGTAGAGGGTTGACTCACAGCTTAATAAGTGTCCACGTTCCAGAAGGGCAGTACTGGCTTACATGTCAAGTTTTGCAGACTTGGGGACAGTGTGAAAATGAAGAGCTAATTGTGGTTGGTGTTCGCACTGCTTTAATATTTTGGATGCAAATGAAAGCACCCTTCAAATGCTGTAGGAATCGCCAAATCATAGAGGTTGGAAGGGACCTCTGAAGATCATCTCGTCCCAACCCCCTGCTAAAGCAGGTGTTTCCTGACATAGGTTACACAGGAGCTGTATTCCTTCACAAAGATACCTGCTTTCACGTTAAAATATTTTCTTCTTTGCTCTTCAGCATTTGCTTGGAGTATTTGGCTAACAGGAGAGTCAGGATACAGCATGCCATCAATAATAAGCAATTGGCTATGAAGCTACCTTGCAGTTTCAAATTTGCTTTCACTAAATATAACAACATGTGGATATCAGATTTGAGGTGCCAAACTGTTAGATGACTGGTATTTTAATGGCTGGGAGAAACCCAACCATATTTACTTAGATAATAGGTTGGCCAGTTCTGCTGGAATTTATTGTGTTACATTTGAAACTTAGCAACAACTGTATCTGATAAGTGATTTTTTGAGTTATGGCAGCAGATAAATAGAAGTGTATTGTCTATATTGAGCTTTTTAGACAGCAGCTTTAGCTCCAATTAAAAAAAGTCTAATTTTAGAGTTTTGCTGAAGTGTCCTATAGCAGTAGAGAAGAAGAGTTTTGACACACTTTGCATTTCACATTTCTTGAATTTGCTTTAAGTGTCTCTTAACCATTTAGCTTCATGAACAACTTTTAATTTAGAGCTCCAGGCTTATTTTAGATACAAGTCCTTGAAGCCAGTAAGAATGAGTTGTTTTTTGTACTGTATGTATTTAGTAGCTAAGCAAACTTCAGAAGAAATCCTTCAGGAATAGCATGCTAGAATAGCTGTAGTTTGCTCCAGCTTGAGAGATTTCAGGAGGGTGCTACTGAAATGCAAAGGAACATTTGATGTGTTTCTCAAAAATAAAAAAAGGCTGTCAGGTGTGTTATTGGCATTGTCTTACATCTTGAGTTCTCTCGCCTTCTCTAACTTACTAAATCCCTGCATAACACCGCTGAAACAAAAACATCTCTGGAAAATAGCATTCAAGGTGTTCCATTTTGTGTACATCTATCTCAATGTATGCGTCTGGTAGGAATCTTTCATAGACAAGTGCAGCCAAAGTACCAAGTCATAAGATGTCTGTCAGTGTTTTATCTGTATGTAAGTTATGTGCAGTCCACAAACGTGTGTGCTTGTGAGTCTACTGAGAAGTTGCTGCAGTGCCATAGAGTGGGTGTTTAGTTCAGGAAGGTGATAGGATGCACATTGGACACATGGCCAAAAATAGCATAGTTTTGTCATGTTTGAGGAACCTGGAGTGTTGGCAGGGCATATGTAGATGGACACAGCAGGGCCTGAGGGAAAACAGAACTGAGGAAGATGTGACACCTCCTGAAGAAGTATCCACAGATGTGAAGTCTGTCTGGCCACAATGAGACTTATTATTTGTAAGAATATTGTTACTTATTGCTAACAAGCATTGATTTACAGTTGTTTTCTATGCATGTGAAACTAGCAGATAATTTTAATTCCTCAACATGCTTTTTCTGTAAACATGTACTGAATGTCTAGTTGAAGTGCAGATGTGGGCCAGGCCAATGATAATATTCATTCTTCTTTTCAGGGGAAGATTTTGCTGTTGTGCAGCAGGAAATCATTATGATGAAAGACTGTAAACATCCAAACATTGTTGCTTATTTTGGCAGCTATCTCAGGTACGGTTTGGTTCTTTTGCTTGCTTAAAAATGCCTCGATATTGACTTGAAAAGGGTAGGTATAGGGTGACAAAGGCAAAACACAATTTACCTAATAAGTACTACCTCCTTATTTACTTTTTTCCCTTTTGCTGTGAAATCTGTTCACCTTGCTGCAGTCTCTTTCTAGAAATAATGTTTCTCTCAAAGTCTTTCAATGGCTGCAGTTAAATCTGTTTCAGTGAAATGTCTCTTAAATTTGCAGAACTTTATGTTGCATAATACAGAGTTTTTGGCAATACTATGACTTAATTGTTCTTGCCACGTAAAATTGTGACAACATGAAATTGAGTGTTATGGGGAAATAACAAACCACAGTTCTTCATCTCCTTTTGTTTTCATTTTCACCTCGTTTAAGAGTACTGGTGCTATAATGCTTTGTAAAGGAGAGGCTTCTGCTTGCATTCAGGTATTTGCACATCTTTTATCTGGAGCAGTATAGATAGAACGCTGTAGCTCTGCAATCTTGGCAGTATGCTAGACCTTCTTTGTAGTAGAAGGATGCTAGATTGAGGTATTCGTGTGCTTAGTAGCCTTCAGCAGCTCCAGCTGAAGTTTTCCATGATAGCCATCTGCTGCAGATGAAGATTTTCAGCAGTATTGGCCAAGTGCTTCAGAGAAGATACAGGTGTTTGTACATGAAAATGTTTGAAATTACCATCTCTGAAGAAGGAATTTGGCTGCTTTATTTGGTACGCACCTTTTCTATTTAGATCTAAAATACTGTTTCTATTATTTCTATTCTGTTATTAATATTATTTCTTTTACCTTAATTCCAGATCTGTTAGGGCTTGTGAAAGCCCAATTATTGTTTTCCTTACAGCTGGCAGGCTTGGTGCACATTTGCAGTACTGGGGAAGAGCTGAATGTGCACTCTCTGGTTCACTCAGCCTTTGTGAGGCGTTCCCTGTCTTACTCTAGGTGATCCAAGATGGAATGTTGAAGTGGAGAGCATGGAGTGCTCTCTTGTGCTGGTGGTTACCTTGGCGCTGAGTGCCTGTGTTGCTGCGGCTGGTCAACCTGAGCCTGCCAGCATCAGGGAGGCAGCACTGGGAAGGAGGCAAGCCCTAGCAGCAAATGCTGGAGGGTGGTTGTGTGCCTGGTAAGGAGTGTGGAGGTGCTCTAAGGAGTTTGTTCTCCCTTCATCCTGAACACTCACTGAAACCGTGTGTTATCAGTGGCGGGGATTCATTGCGTTGTTCTCTGTGTAAGGATGTTCTTAGCTGTTTGACGAGTAAAGAAGTATGGCACGCTCGGATGTGGTTCAAGTCAACAAGACTTGGGTTTTAATTAAACTTATGCTATAGCCATTTCAAAGGGCTGTAGTGGAAAACCTGCTTCACTGCCATAGGTTAGTGTGCATTGAGGATGTGTCCAAGGGGAAAATGAATTTTCAGAGAAAGATGAAATATGCTGAAAGAACAAAGAGGAAAGCAGACCATCCGTGGTCAACAGATCACTGAAATGAACATCATGCGTGCTGTGTGCTGGTTGAGGCAGGGAGTTGTGTTACCAAGATCACGTGGTTATGTACTGCTTGTATTCTGAGGCACACAAAGGGAGCAAAGTCTGATTATAAAATCAACAAGGCGTGCTGTTCTGGCATCCCTTACCTCAGAGGGTGCTTGTCTTGGCAGCTTTAATGCTGAGCTGAGCTGTGAGCTGTGTAATGCATGGGTTTGTGTGAGTGTGTGTGAATGCAGATAGACTGCATTCATGTAGGGACTTGGTTCTCCAGGCTTCCACTGCAAGTGTCTGTGCTTCAGTTTGGACTGCTTAAGTTTAACTTGAAGGTCACTTGCATTCGGTGCAGTGCTGGCAGGCTTTTTCCTGTGCACAGATAATCAAGTCTTAATACTGATACGTGCCCTGAAGTCACATAAAAGATTTTTTGTATTGAGAATTTGTGGAGTTGTAAGCTGATGCCAAGCAGACTAACAGCTTGTCAGGTGGCCAAGCTGGCTCTTTAGGAGAGCGTTTGGAAGCTTGGTGTTATGGTGATGAAGGTTTTTGAATTAAAATTGCATGGTAAAATTGTGTAGTTGGGATCAGATACTGTCCCACTCTCCTGTTGTACCTCCTTAATCCTATTCCCAGCCTCAAAGCCTACTGTTCTTTGGCAAGAGAGCACTTCATTAAGATGTCCTCTTTCACATGGGATGCCTTTCTGCAGTACTGGAAAGGAAGCAGTGTTGCCGTTTTTCTTGATGTGAGACGTTAGTCTTGCATGCTCCCATGACAAGCAAGTCATTCTTATAAAACTGTAAGGAAGACTGATTTCACAAGAAAGAAGTAATTGAATGGAGGAGGGGAGGGCTTACAATCTGTAGTGCTGTTGGATTTACCTTGAGTTGTTTTTCTAATGCTTAAGCTTGTGATAAGAATGTGCCTGCTCCACTTGTGGCTGTTTCTGGAGGTGAGGTTGCTAGCTTTGTAGAGACACTGACACATGCATCCCGCTGCCTTATCAGCTGTGTTTAACCAATCACAGTGGGAATGGATTGATTAGAATCACGGAATTGTAGGGGTTGGAAGGGACCTCTAGAGATCATCAAGACCAACCCCCTGCCAAAGCAGGTTCCCTACACCAGGTCGCACAGGTAGGCATCCAGGCGAGACTTGAACGTCTCCAGAGAAGGAGACTCCACCACCTCCTTGGGCAGCCTGTTCCAGTGCTCCGTCACCTCACCGTAAGGAAATTCTTACGCACATTTGTGTGGAACTTCCTGTGCTGCAGCTGATGTCCGTTTCCCCTTGTCCTGTCTCCACGTAGCATTGAAAAGAGACTGGCCTCACCGCTATGGCCCCCACACCTCAGATATTTATAGACCTGGATCAGGTCCCCTCTCAGTCATCTTTTCTCAAGGCTGAACAGACCCAGTTCACTCAGCCTTTCTTCATAGGAGAGATGCTCCAGGCCCTTCACCATCTTCCTGGCCCTCTGCTGGACTCTTTCCAAGAGGTCCTTGTCTTTTTTGTTCTGGGGAGCCCAGAACTGGACGCAGTACTCCAGATGAGGCCTTACCAGGGCAGAGTAGAGGGGGAGGATCACCTCCCTCGACCTGCTGGCCACACTCTTTTTAATGCACCCCAGAATGCCATTGGCCTTTTTGGCCACAAGGGCACACTGCTGCCTCATGGCCAACCTGTCGTCCACCAGGACACCCAGGTCCCTCTCCGCAGAGCTCCTCTCCAGCAGCTCATCCCCCAACCTGTATTGGTGCATGCAATTATTTCTCCCTAGATGCAAGACTCTACACTTGCTTTTATTGAACCTCATCTGGTTTCTTACTGCCCAGCTCTCCAGCCTGTCCAGGTCTCACTGAATGGCAGCACAGCCTTCAGGCGTGTCAGCCAATCTTCCCAACTTCGTATCATCAGCAGACTTGCTGAGGGTGGCCACTATCCCCTCATCAAGGTCATTGATGAAGATGTTAACAAGACCGGACCCAGCACAGACCCCTGGGGGATACCACTGGTTACAGGTCTCCAGCCAGACTCTGCACCACCAATGATGACGCTCTGCGCTCTGCCAGTGAGCCAGAATCCAGCTTAGGATAAATAGAAGAATGCAGTTTGATGACTTTTTGAGATTTCATGTGAAAACAGACCATGAACAAACATTTTACAAACTTACAAAATTGTTAGATTTCACTTCAGTGTGAGTTTTGAGATTTAATTGAAACCTCTCGTGATACTTGAGCTGGAAATGCTTTTTCTGTATTAAGGGGGTGAGGAGGAAAGTAGTTTTCTTCCAGTCGGAGATAAGAGGCATATCTTGGCATACCTGGAATTCAGTTTTGGTATGTACAGTTTTATTTTGATGCTCCTGTGATTCTGCTTGGTCCCTTTCACACATGGTATACTGCTTCTCTTTTGTCTGGGGAGTTGAATGGCTGCCTTTGAACCCTCTCATTATCTGACCTTTTGTTTTTGTAAATATCTTTCAATACTAAGAAAAATACCATCATCCTATGCTTGGCATTTCACTGTGTGTTGTTCCTGTGCTTTTCTTCTGTTTACATACGGATTTCCCAGGCAGTTGAATTTCTGCCATGCTGTTAGCCTAGGTGTTAGGTTGCAGGCTCTAAATGGTACTGTTGATCCTGCCTCTGTGTTTTGTTTGCTTTGCTTGCCATTTGCTCTGAGGACTCAGACAACTGTATATGTATGTTGTAACTGTTGATTACATGGCTCTTCACCGTTTCTCAGAGCACTTAAGCACAGTAAGAAAAGGTTAGTGAGTCAGAAATAGTCTCCTCTTTTTATGCTCTTACATTTTTTAAACTTTTCTATAGGACTTTTCCACACTGGGAATTTGTGCCCAATGAGTGAAGTTGTGAATTTACAGCATGTAACTTTTTCATATTTCCTACTGTGCAGGCACTCTGCTGGGTTCAGGGCTGCTGGGATTTTCCTAGCTTTTCCCCATTTCCATGCTGGCATCAAAACAGGGTGCAGCATGGGCAAGAGTGACTTTCATGTGTCCCTGAGTCCTGTATTGCTGTAGGGAACAAGCACAGGTCTTGCAAGTGTCTTTCTGGTGACTTTTTCACTCTTGTTCCACTTGCTGATATGGATAATTCTGATGTCTTTCGCAAGTACTGGCATCATTTCTGTCTGATATCGATCAGTTATTTCAATGAAATGTCTTTGTATTATTTCAGAATAGCAGTGCTTTAATTAACCCTTAGAACTGCATGCTGTAACTGTGACTTCTGTTGCATGAAACCTTTATAATACGTAAACAATGCCCTTCCTATGGCACTGTTTTTGAGGGGCACATTGAGGTTGGACGTGTAGGAGGAGATTCATGAAAGACTTGGAACAGGGCCTGTTTTGGCTGTTACCTGTGAGAAGTACATTGTGAGAAATACAAGCAACTTAGAAGGGCAAGGAATAAGGTCATGGCCATGCAAAATGCTTCCAGGAGTGCTGGTGTTGCTCACAGGAGTGTCTGAGCTATTCTCGCAAAGCCTTGTGAATGCAACAAGCCCCAGATCAGGGGCCGTAAGCAAACTGCAGAGCATCACCAGTCTTCCCTTTGGTTGTCCTGTGTCTCAATCTGCCCTGAGGTGGCTGAGTGTGATTTTTCTCTCCTGTGTGTTTTGAAGGCCAGGAATGGCCAGGTGTGTCCCAGATTTTCTGCTCTACAAAGTGCCTCTCTGCCTCTGCACTTGTGACATCTGTCTTACCAGTGAAAATTACTAAGTGAAAATGGAAGATGAAAACCATAACTATACCTTTTGTACTCTACTGTTCCTTTGATTCCTTCAGTCTGTTGCCTGTTCCTGGAAGGAACTTTTTACTGCGGTACAATGAATCAAGCTGAATTCATTCTTTCTGTCAGAGAAATGAAAGAGCTGCCATGTGCCCCCTGCCACGCAATATACCCACAAGTATTTTCCAGGGAAAAGACATCACCTGAGTAGTCACTTAGTCACAACAGGGGCTCCATTCTGCCCAGCTTTGGCTGTAGCAGTAGTTTTACTCCATTTGTTGTGAAAGAAATTGAGTTGAAAGATGTCCCTCGGGCTTTCTGTATTATGAGTTTGTTTCTTCGTCTTGTTTGTTTTCTTTTAATTGTTCTGTTCTGAAAGATGTGGAGGGGAAAGGAAAATAAAAAAGAAATAAGAACCCGCTGTATTTTCTGTACCCTCAATAAAAGTAGATTTAATTTTTATAGTACATCTTCAACAGTGTTTTCTGCACACACTTCTGTTGCTCTAATAAATGCTGGAATTTTTGGTTATTTTGTTATTTATTTTGACAGTGAATTATCACATAATGATTCAGTCGTTTTAGCTCATACTCTTCTCACAGCACAGAGCTCGTAGCGTTCTGCTTTATAGTGCTTGAGTTTTCTGACATGTTCTACAGATACAGTTCAAATCTGACAGGCACTGAATGGTTTTGTTCACTTTTTAGACGTGACAAGCTCTGGATCTGCATGGAGTTTTGTGGAGGTGGCTCTCTACAGGATATTTATCATGGTATGTCAAGACCATAATTCCTTAAAAGCTAAGTAAAGCTTGTTTTAAGAAACTGGAGATGATTACAGTGTTTTGGAATCAAAGAGGATGAATCTTAAATTTAGTATCCATAATAATCCACTGAAGGTCAATTTTAACTTAAGTATCTATGCAAAAGGTTGTTTTTTTTCTTTTTTGAAACACAATGAACTGCAGCAGGGTGGAGTAATAGAAATTATTTCCTTCCTTCATCAGTTCGTGTACCAATCGCTGCTTTCCTAAAACTGTAAAATTAGACAGTATTATATAGTTTAAAAAGAAAAAAAAAAAAACAGGACAAAAACTTGTATCATGGTGTGCTGTGTTCACAGTCATCTCATTTTTGAGCTTTTGAACTTTGTTTTAATGCAGCCGATACCACAGCCTACAGGTGCCTGGATAAACAGGCAGATTAGCACTAATGCTCTTGTCTTTTCTGAGAAGCGACCTTCTGTATGTTAGTGATTCAGTAGTGCCCAAAGGGCCTTGTCAGTGCATGACATGTAAAAAGTAAATGTGGCTTACGTGTTTGCTTTAGACCTGTGTGCCTTGGGTGATTGAATAAACAAGGAGTGTCTGCAGTTCCATCATATGCAGTCAAGATTAGTCAGTTGGTTGCTAATTTTTGACAGACCAAGTCACTTCTAAGAGTTTTTTATTGCCCTAGCAATAAGATTTGCTTAGGAAATGACTATGCTACAAACATGTAATGGCTCTGTGATTGGGAGAGAATGTTTTTCAGACAGGAAATCCATCCAGATTTTAAATAGTGAAGATTTTCCATGTTAGGTTCCTCACATCCTTCTCGTGTACATAAACAGCTTGCAGATGTTTTTTACATTTAACTCGGGTGCAATTAAGACAAGGCAGCGATTCACAGATTCACACTGTGTTCACATTGCAGTCATTTGAGTGTGTTCTTGTTGATCCCTCACATCTTCACCAGTGTTGATGAGAGCATGGTGCCTGATAGGCTTTGTTTTGTGGAACACCTGTAGAGTAGGAAATGAGCTCATGTGGCTTAAATGCCTGAACAGATGTCGTACAGGAGCTGTTTCCTGTCGCAGCTGATTTTTTGGCTTCTCTGCCAGCAGCAGCTAGAGTGGAAGGTTCTTTTCTGATCTTAATTACATTACTAAGTTCTTAACTCCAGTTAAACAATAGGCCTCAGCAATTAAATCTAAAGTAAAATAATCATTCAAATTAATTCAGTATCGGTTTCTCAAAATAAACATGGGTTTTGAAGAAACTGTAGTTTAGTGCTCGATTCTTACTTAATTTTTAAATTCCCTACTCATTCGTGAAACCACATCCAACATTTCTGTTTGCAAGCTTCTCAGATTTTGTCCAGAAAACAATGAAGACTGCATGTCTGGTCATAAAAGCTTTTAGTCTCAGGATCAAAGTCAAGTGACCGAGGACAAGTTGTAAGCTGTTCCTTGCTTGTGGTTCAGTGTTTGTTTTGCATTTTTGTTCCAAATGTAATTATTTTAAGAAACTTGGGTGAGTTGTGACCCTAGAGCAAAAGGGAAGACTCTTGGATAGTGCTGAGTCTGCTCAGAGGGTGAGAATGTGGAAGGGTGCCTGGTGTGGCAGGCCCAGGAACCACATTTTCGGCAGAGCATGCGGAGAAAGGACAGAGGAGCTTCAGACAGCAGGTCGTGTGGCTGCAGGGGAGTAAAGGGGAGAGAGAAGGTTGTAAGGGGTGGAGCTTGGAGGGGCTTTGAAGTCCAGGACATAGGAGATTTGTGCAAGGGAAAGAGCTGTGCTTAAATCGCTGCTCCTGTTATTATAGAATATTTCTTGTGGGTTTTTGGTTTTTTCCTTCCTTCTGATTGCTTTGAGATTAATGTATCTGGATGCAAGCAATTTCCATTCCAAGAGGAGTAGATAATTTTTGAATTTGAAGACATTTTGGTAGTTCTTGTGATGTTCCTTCTGTGGGAAAGTTTAAACGTGTTCACGGGGTGATTCTACTGAATCCTCTCAGTGTGAGTGGAAATTGAAGTATAGATTTGGGAAGGACAATGTCGTACCTGATATTGAGTGGGGTTTTTTTTCTTCCATTTCAGTGACTGGACCACTTTCAGAACAGCAGATTGCCTACGTTAGCAGAGAAACACTACAGGTAGTGTACACTAAGGTTGTGGTCATATACATGTAACTGTAATGTAAAAACATTAAAAGCTAACACTAAAGCTATAACTACTTGTCCTGTCATGAAAGTGCGTGTTTGGAGGGCTTAGCATTTTTCTCTACTGCGGAAGTCCTCTGTTGTAGCCTAGAACTGGTTTGTTTAATTGTCTGACCCTAAATGATCCAGGATCATTTGAGGAAAACTGTCACCTACTTTCTGCCATTTTTTTGTTTGTTTTAAAAGAGAGATAAAAAGCAGTTTATTTATTTGTCAGTATTTGTGATGCAAGTTAGTTACTGCAAGTTTGAAGAAAAATTTTAAGGCTCAGTTTTGTGTATCTGATTGATATGTGCCAACAAGGAGGCAAAAAAGTGTGTATACTCAAGGTTTTCTAATTATAGTCTTTAGTCTCTCCTCATGGTTGTGTTAACTTTCATATTTCTTTCTTAAACAGAATATTTAGCTCACCAGTAAAATGTCACAAGAACCATCATGTTATGTCTTGGTTCCATGTGAGAGAGCAGCTCTTGGCTTCCACTGAATGCTGAGCTCTCAAATACTTTTTGTTGAGAGCCTCTCGCTTTCAAGATAGCTCTGTCCCTGAGCCAGCTCTATTGCATGCCACTGACCGTTTCTCTATGCTGTGCCAGAGATTGCTGTCTTCTGACTTCCAGGACATGTCATTTTCTTACAGTAAAGTCTTGACTTAAATAATATGCAGGAGTGGTTTTTGGTTTTTTGTTTTGTTTTTTGGAATCTCGAATACCTGAAGTTAGATTTTGAGGTCTGTATTTAAAAACTCATTAAGTGGTCTGATGTCAAAAACAAAAACAAACAAACAAAACACCAGTCACTGTCAGTTCTGATTGGAATCAGTGATACTGATTCTGAAACTGTAGGTACTGTAATATGGAGCTTCCATGATTATTTTTTTTTGGTGCCGTTGACATGTGGAGATGTACATGTGAAAAGTGCATGTGTGACACTTCTAGTTAATGCCTGTTGTTGCAGTGGAGGAATTGATGCTTCAATGGTACTCTCTACTAAAAGCAAATTGAGTCCAGTTTTGGATATGCATGCATCCCGCAGTGAGGGCAACAAGGTCTGTTGATCTGTCGAGGTATCTTCAGCCATTTGCCCCAGAGAACCTGTGCTAAAACGTTTCTGAGACTTTCAAGGAGTTTGATTGCACCATTAGTTAGTACTTTTATATTGCATTTGGATTTTAATGAATAACAAAAAATAGCCCCAAATTGCATTTTCAGTGGTACTGTTGCCAATCCATACAAAGAAAACGTTGACCATTTCACTTGAAAATCTCAAGTACTAAGTCCTGTAAGCTAGCATTTCCCATTTTTCCTGCTGATAGGAATAGAACTATCCACGAAAATGCTCATAATTGAAAAGGATCCTAATATTGTTTTTGAAATCAACTATGTGATGTCTTGCTGAGGTAATTGGGAGTTTAAAACAAAATTGTCTTAATATGGATATCTTCAGTGAAATGTAGTCATTGCAGAGGCTGATGATTGCAGGGTGCTGCGGATGTTTACCCGCTGCTTGCCCATGAAAGAGGATTTCAGAGATAAGCCCAGTGTTAGAAGCGGTGTGCTGTGTGATTCCTCATATGAGGATTTGACTGTATAGTATTATTTCAGACCTCGTGTTGAGGCACTGAGTCCTGAGATGTCTCACTGCCATTACCATCTGCAGAAATGCATGACCTAAAGTTGAAGCAGAGCATTAGCCCTGAGGAGCTGCCTGCTGGTGTCCTTCTAGAGTTAATTGAGGCCTGTAATGGCACAGGTGATCTCTGTGCCCGATATCTGGTGATCAGACTGCTGAATAGAATGCTGTTAGGCAGTTTAAGAGTAGCTTGCTCTAAAAAGGTGACAGTTAACATATCCAGACAAAAACTTAACCAGAAAAGTCTTTCCTCTCAGTGGGCTGATGGTGATTGATAGTCTTCCATTCCACCCCTGCATTTAGATGTTACACTGCTATGTACGTGGAATTTCCAAGTGCATTCAAGAGTCACTGAAATAAAGGAATGTTCTTCAACCAGAAAGTTATTTAGGTGACTGAATTGCATACTAAATACGTCTATTAATTGAGGATGAAAGGCATATTAAGTAAAATACTGGATTTAATTATTGTTTTAACTATTTTTTGCAGGGGCTCTATTACCTTCACAGTAAAGGAAAAATGCACAGAGACATAAAAGTGAGTAAAAACTGAATGGAATTTTGGTGTTTTTAGGATAATCTACATCATCACCTCTTAAGGGTTTTTACTGTTACATGGAAGTTTTGGGGATGCTTTCTAAATACATAAGGTTTTTCTGTTTATTGGAATAATATTTTCTACCCACCAGAAGAAAAATATCTTTCCTTAAAGCGCATGGGAATCATTTGTTCTTTTAATTGGAGCCACACACTTATTTTGAGCAGTGCAGCAGAATTTTGGCATCAGCTGCTGTCCAGTACAGCTTGTATTCAGATGTCCAAAAGGATGCTTTCTGTGCAGAAGGAAAGGCTTGGTCTTTTCCACACCCTTCTGAGAAGCTTGGTTACCCTTCTGACTGAACCAGCGAGTAAATGGAACTGTTGCTTGGCTTCTTGCTTCTTTTCTTGGTGAGCAGATTGCAGGGCAGTGGCTGCTGTTCCTTGTGCTCCTTACAGACTAACTTGTCTTCTCCTTCACATCTAAAATTAGAGAGCACCACAAATCAGGCTCTTAGCAGCGACTTCCTTAAACCTTCATCTCAACAAAGCTGTATCAAAGGTGGCTTGCTCATACTATTATACTCCCTGTTAATAGTTTCCTTCTGATACTTCCTGTTGACTTTTTGTCCCTGGGGTTTTATTACTTACTGTTTGCATTTCCAAACTGTTCCCTGCTCAGATTCCAACTTTAGTTTGGCAAGTTACCCTCCTGGAAATATGTCAGCAAATTACTGTATTCCTGTTCTTTGTACTGTTGTACGTGCATTTTTGTTTATCTGTGTTGTGTTTCTTTCAAACTGGGGATGCAGTAATGCATAGTAGCTTCAACCGTAGGTGCTTTAGTACAGGTAAACTCCAAGTCATCCTTGTTGTCTGCAGGAGGATACTTGGGGATACTTGGGTTTTGTGCCACCAGGCAAATAATTTCTGAGTGAGAGATTAATTTGGATGCTAAACTTGAACATTTTTCGTCATACTTAATGGGATGAGAAATGATGCTTGTTAGGCTGCAATGCATAGATACTCATTTCTAAACAGAAGTGTGCTGATGAAAACATGGAATCGTGTGTTTTTAAAACAAGAACAAAAATAAACGTGAGCATGGAAAAATACTATCTTCACCTGCAGCTCTCCTGACTATGAAGTTACATTTGCTTCCCTCAGTAGCTAAGTTATGTACTTATGTACATATATAAGTATATAACTTATACATGTACTTTTGTACTTACCTGTTCTGTTAGTCTTGAAAGGTGAACAAGGTCAAGAGCATGTTAACTGGGCCGTCACATTTATTTACCCAGCTCCATTTATGAGGCTCATTAACTGCAGTGTGCAGCATTTGCCAAAGTAAGCCTTGCAGCTGGAGCATGACTGCAGACCTGACTTCTTCCCCATGCAACCCCCTACCTGTATGAAGGCAGCTGTTTGGGAAGCCCTGCGTGCTGCCTTTCTGTGCAGTCTGTGGGCAGGGCTGGTGGCTGCAGCACTATCTGGCTGTGTGTTTGGCCTGCTCCAGCCTTTGCTCAGTACTGCTTAGAGCTGACTGCCCCCTTTGGAGCGGGTTTGCTCCCAGTTCTTTCTTGTGGCATTTTCATGACACCAGCTGTCATTTGGGGTTAGCTTTGGTTATTGAGCTGCTTCTGGAAGTGGTGCATGTAGCCACGCAGCATTGTGCTCTTCAGAGGGAGAGCTAGCGGAATCTCTGCTGCATAGGGACAGAAATAGTTTTGTTAAAACACTGGAGTTTCAAGGGAGACCCTTAAGGCTGTAATTATCGTGGCCCTGAAAGGAGACAAAACCAGCTTGGCATTTGAGAAGAAAATCAAATTACTTCCGTTGTGACCTTTAGAGTTCCTGTTTCCTTTCAGTCAGTGTAAATAGAAAAAAGAAAGTAAGAATTCATCTTCATAAGCAAATCATCAGAATTCTGCTCTTTGAGAGGGCTTTGTGTACAACGGGGAACTTTGTAGTACTGTGGGCTAAAGAATACTAAACTTAACATTCATGAAAAATACTGAATATCTGAATTCCTTTATATAATAAAATGTCAAGTTACAATTTCACAGGCATTTCCTTTTACTGCTACACATTTCTCAAATGTACAGTTTTTGGTTTGTCTTTTCACTGCTAATTTGCTGTCATAGATCACATAAAGATTGGTTTTATATAGCATACAAAAATCTGCCTGTTTTAATTCAAATACACTTTTTTTTTTAAGGGAGCAAACATTCTTTTAACGGATAATGGACATGTAAAATTAGGTAAGTTAATAAACAATCTGTTAATAACTGTAAGTTGTGTGTAGTCTGAAAACAAAACCTTACTATTTTTGTCTGATTACATAAGAGTTTGTTATGTAAGGAATTAGCACGTCTTTTTCTATTGCTGGTAAGATCTAACTCAGCAGCACCAAATTATTGTCTTAGGAGTAATTGGAGTCTGGTTTTGCAGCACTCAGGTAAAACTTCCTGAGGTTGCAAAGATGGGGTGGAAGTCAAATCAAAGGTTTTAAAAAACTTTTATTGAAGTATACCATCCAGAGTTCTTAAACGTGAAATATGGCTTTAAAAACTGCCTGAAATAACCCCTTGGATTTTATTAAATGATGTATTTTAACTTAGTAAAAGAATGCTTGTTGTTGTTACAACTTCTGTGTTACCCCTGTGTTTCTTGCCCTAATGAGAGGGGCCTCCACATTTGGTAGGCAGCTGAGAGGAATTAATCAAAAGTATTTGAGATTCACCAAGTTTCCGTTCTTTGCTTTTTTTGTAAATTGTTTTCCAGTATATTTAGGAAACTCATACAGTGAGGAAATCGAACTGTCATGTTCTTAGAAAAAAATGAGCTGCATCAGAACAGTTATTAATAATCTTTATTTTTTCTAGCTGATTTTGGAGTATCCGCACAGATAACAGCTACAATTGCCAAAAGGAAATCGTTCATTGGCACCCCATATTGGTAACTGTGTTTTGCTTCATCATCAATATATACATAGCAAACATCATTCTGTTGAAAAATTGTGTATGTTAAAGCATGCCACAAACTTTCTGGGTAGACTCATCACAAAAAACTGATGTTTGTGGGATTGTGTCTTTTTTTTAATGCTGACCATTAGTTAAATCATTCAAATGCTCTGAAATGTTGAAAACCGTTTGGATGTGGTGCTCAGGGACATGATTTAGAGGAGGGCTGTTAGAGTTAGGGCAGAATGGTTAGATTGTGGTTGAACTTTATGATCTTGAAGGTCTTTTCCAACTTGAGCGATTCTGTGATTCTGTGATCCCATCTGTGTGCTGCTATTGCTATTGACTAATGATTGCAGTTTAGTCTGATTATAAGTATGTCTGCAGTTCTGTGTTTCAACTGTGATCTTGAATTTTTTTCCTTCTCGATTTCCTTTCTGGTGTCTTACATTTCTTCCCCTTTACCCCAGATAAGTCTTCTCTGTAACTCTTCAGTTGATAACAAGTTTCATTTGTTCATCTTTGTGGATTCCTTTGCTGCTTGTAAAATGTTGTCTCTAAACTATGTTGTTGTTGTTGTTTTGTTTTCAAGCAAGAACTAAAGTGAGAAAGCCCACCTGAATACAGAATTGAGTTTTTATTGTCTGTACTGTATCTTTATTCTTCTCTCTGTCAACTTTTTTTTAATTTATCTTTTCTGAAGTTCAGCTTCTTGTTTTCTCCTCTCTTTGAACTGAAAGTGATTGTTCCCTTTTTTCTTTTAAAATACGTGATACTCATCCTTCACTGTAAAAGAAGCAGTTTTGTATGTTTCCTAGAAAGATGCTCAAAGTTCTGTTATGTGGCAGCATAGTAAATACAAGGAAAATGTGTGGATGGTAAAAAGCCAAGTTCAAATATTCGGTCTTTGAAACAGATTGCAGCACAGCATTTTTAGCATTTTTCTGTAGTATAAGTCACGCCAAGGCACAGATTCACTTCCCATTCTGAGTAGCACAAATACCCATCAGTCATGATTGCGTAACTGATTTGTTGCTCTGTTTCCTGAGTAAGATGTCTGGGTGGCTTGAGTCCTGACCTGTCTCAAATGACATGCCATAACCTTAAACAACAATTATGAAAGCTTGTATCAGTTAAATACTTACAAAATGCATCAGTTTTCTATAGCAAGTTTTCTCAGATTTGGGAGTGGAAGCAAGTAAGGAGAACGGTTGATACTGTACAGAAGTTGTAGTGTGAAGGTTTGAGTGATCCTTATAGGTGTCTGAGCAGGGAAGAGCATGGTAGTGGGATGGGGGAGAAGTGAAAGGCCAAACTGCTGTGCAGTGCTGTCAGTTCTAGTAACCCCACTATTTACCCTTGCATTCCTTCTCTTCTGTGTCTTTCTAAAGTTAGTGCATGTTTCTCCTCTGCGTTGGTATGCTTCTCTTCTGCCTTTAGTGTCTTTTTTTAGTGTTGTTTTTTCTAATGAGTTCTATGTGAAAGTCTATGTAAATATTTCACATTTGTACCACCAAATTGGATGTTGTCTTCAGATGCACAGTTAAGGATATCTGTGTTTAAATAGTGCATCATTTCAGATGTCCTCTGAGTGATGCTGTTTACTGCTTTACTGTAGAACTCATTACGTTACATTCTTCTGTCCTACCTGTTCTGAGTTGTATGTCCTACTTCATTGATCCTTTTCAGGTGTTCTGAAAAAAAAAAAAAGGAGTGCAGAATTGCATTTGATATGGCTGTATAGGACAATCCAATCCAAAACATCAGCAATTCCTAGTGAATCATTTCATTTAGGTATTCTTCTTTGTGTAAATTGTTAGGTTTTTTTCACCTGTGGATCTGAAGTTACTTTATAAACCTAAATAAGGTGTACTGATACTACAGTGAGCCATGTACTGTAGACAAGGAGTTCTCTGTGCTGAGTTGACAGGCCTTATGCTTCCAGAAGGAAAAAAAACCTGTCATTTTGATGCATTTAGTCACTTATCTAGGGCAATGTGTGTATCTGGACAGTGTTTGCATTTTATTGTTGTTGAATAATTATACCCTAAACTGTTTGGTAGTCTGGAGATTCCTTGTGTTCCTGTAAAAGTACAAGACAGATTGGTTTGATCCGCTTCCTTCCTGTTTACTTACAGGAAGATTATGGAGGAAAATTGCATGCTTGCTACAGAGAAGAGGATTTCTAACTTGAGAATTATTTACCTATCACTGCTTTCAGCTGAATACACGAGTACCACAAAGTACCACACTGAAAAGAGAACTAGGGAAAAACCTGGTGTTTTCTAAATATTGTAGTCCATAGGGTGAATTTCTCAAGTTTAAATCAATAAATGTATGTGCTACATACCTTTTTACATGCACATGCAAACAAATGTGTGTGTGTGTGTGTGTATATATATATATATATATATATATATATAATATATATACATTTGTTTGCATGTGTATATATACACACAGGCACATATAAATGTATATGCAGCAAATTGAGAGCTGTTGAGAAATTATGGCTGCATGCAGAAGGATATTTGATTTGTGATGAGAAGTGTATCTTACATCAAACGTCTTCTACTGTGTAGGATGGCACCAGAAGTTGCTGCAGTAGAAAGAAAAGGTGGCTATAACCAACTCTGTGATCTGTGGGCAGTTGGAATAACTGCTATAGAGCTTGCTGAACTTCAGCCTCCAATGTTTGACCTACATCCAATGAGGTTAGTGAGGGGTTAAAGTTTGGTGTGTAAATATAGCTTTATAAATAATCCATTTGGAATAGCTGGCTCTGTATACTTGTGGTGTCTGGGAGTACTGCATGGATGTTCAGAGAATTATAGAGTGGCCTGAGTTGACAGTGACCTCAGAGATCCCTTAATTCTATCTCCCTTACCATGAGCAGGGTTGCCAACCACTAAATCAGGAGCCAGCTCAAGTTTCCCCAAGACCCTGTCTAACCTGGCCTTGAGCACATCCAGGTATGAGGCATCCACAGTTTATCTTGGGGACCTCTTCCAGCATCTCACCAGTCTCAGTTAAAAATTTCCAGTGACATGTAATATAAATCTCCCCTCTTTTAGGGTAAAAAGATTCATCCTTGTCTTATCACCATCAGACTGTGTAAGAAAACAAAACAAAAAACCACAAACAAAGTCAGTCTCCATCCCATAAGCTCTCATTAAGTATTTGGAAGGCTGCAAAGTCTCCCTGGAGCATTCTTTTTTCCAGGATGAACAAGCCCAGCTCCCTCAGCCTTTCTTTGTACAAGAGGTGCTCCAGCCCTCTGAGCAACTTCATGGCACTCCTCTGCACCCTCTCCTACAGCTCTGCATCTTTCTTTTTCTGGAGGTGCTCTACCTGGTTGCAGTACTCCAGGTGGGGCCTCACAAGGGCAGAGTAGAAAGGGACGCTCTCCTCCCTTACCCTGCTGCCACCCCTCTTTTGATGCAGCTAAGAATGATGATGTTGGCTTTCCAGACTGCAAGTACATGGTGCTGGCTCGTATTAAGTGTTTCATCTGCCAGGACCATGATGTCCTTCTTGGCAGGGCAGTTCTCAGTGAGCTCTTTTCCCAGAGTGTAAATGTATCTGGGATTTCCCCAACCCAGGTGCAAAGCTGTGCTCTTGACCCTGTTGAACCTCATTACGTTCCTGCGGGTGCACCTTTAGAGCTTGTTCAGGTTGTTGTGGATGGCATCTCTTCCTTCTGTTTTGTCAGCTGCACCACTCAGCTTGCTGTCATCTGCAAATTTACTGGAAGTGCACTCAATCCCATCACCTTTGTCATTGAGAAACATGTTGAGGAGTGCTGGTCCCAAGATGGACCCTGGGGGACACCACGTGTGACCAGCCTCCACCTGGGCGCAGAGCCATTGACCACAATCCTCTGGCTGCAACTTTCCAATCGATTCTTTATCCACTGAGTGCCCACCTTTCAAACCTACGTCTGTCCATTATAGAGATAAGGATGTGGTATGAGGCCATGTCAGGCCTTGCACAAGTCCAGGTAGGCAACATTAGTTGTGCTTCCTTGCACCACCAATGTTGTCACTTGATCGCAGAAGGGCACCAGAGCGGTGAGGCACAATCTGCCCTTGGTTAAGATGGGCTGGCTGCCTTGGATCACTTGCTTGTCCCTCGTGTACCTTAAAATCTGTTCCAGGAAGAGTCATTCCACGATATTCACAGGCATTAGAGGCCTTTAGTTCCCTGGATCTTCCTTTCTTCCTTCCTTTAAAATTGGAGTGGTTTCCCTTTTTCCAATCACCAGTGACTTCAGCGGAGTTTTCACATATATTTTCACGTATAGTTGCCAAGTCATTCTCCATCTTATCAGCCAGTTCCTTCAGGGTTCTGTGATGCATGTCGTCAGGCCCCATAAATCTGTACACATGCGGTCTTGAACTTGCTTTTGTCTTACAGTGGGAGGGATTTAGCTCCCTCAGCCCCCACCTAGAGGTTCAGTGATGTGAGAGACACGAGAAACCTGGCTTGAGGTGAAAACTGAGGCAACGAACTTATTAAGTATCTCAGCCTTCTCCATGTCTGTTGCAGCTAATTTTCTCTTTTCATTTATCAGAGAGTGGGCATATACTCTCTTTAGCCTGTCTCTTGTTTTTTTTTTTCACATCCCTTGCCAAGTGCATTTTGATCTGTGCCTTGTCTTTCCTGATTCCATATCTACATGTTACATTATGTCATAATCATCCTCCAATAAATGCCATTCCTAATCTACATCATCAAACAGTGGAGGACCCAGATTAGTGACGTTGCTATTACTATGGAGCCAACTCAGAGCCATCTGAAGCATTTAAAACTGCAACTCAGGCACCAGCTCTGCATCTACACTACATTGTTTTTTCAGTGTCATTTACCTCAAAATTTAGTTAAAAGATCCTTAATTTTTTTATTTCAGACTTTGAGTGTGGAGTTTATAAGCAGTTCTGGTGTGGGAAGGCCTCCTGCCACAGCAATTAACAGCTCTTTTTTGTGCATAAATAAGCAGTGTTGTCCCGATAGCATCTTTTGAACTGGTGGGCTCATTGCCAGCAAAATAATGCCTATACTAATGTTGTGTATGCATGTGTTTGTGTGTGTGTGTGTGCATATATATGTATATATATCTTTTTTCTTTCAGAGCACTTTTTCTAATGACAAAAAGCAACTTCCAGCCTCCTAAACTAAAGGACAAAATGAAATGGTAAGTGCTTCTCTGTTTCAGTAGATAATGATCATGTATTTCACTGGGCTGATTTTACCATTTTGTTTTACAGGTCCAATAGTTTCCATCATTTTGTGAAAATGGCACTTACAAAAAATCCTAAAAAAAGACCTACAGCTGAAAAATTACTGCAGGTATAAATTTGTTTGGTTTCCTTTAGTTTTTCTTTTTTTTAAGTTATAAAATGGAAATGCACTTAGTATGGCTGCTTGGAATTTTAATCTGTTTGTTTCTTTGTTCTGTCCTTCAGCATCCTTTTGTTACCCAGCCATTAAATCGAAGTCTTGCTATTGAACTTTTGGATAAAATGAATAATCCTGATCATTCCACTTACCATGACTTTGATGATGATGATCCTGAGGTAGGAATATGCTATATCTACAGAATCAGGTTGCATTTGTTTTCCAATAAAACTAAATGATTGGCTAATTAATTAGTATTTGTTGAACCACAGAATGTTTTATAATCACAGAAGTCTCAAGAGTTCAGGTTTTCCTGCTGAATGTTATATGTGACACTTAGCAAAATTTGTTGTGTTTCAGGAAGAAGAGCTCAAATAGAGTTGTAAATGTTATAGGTTTATTTACTGTTGTCCTTGTCCAATTTGTGGTGTGAAAGTAGATGTGGAATATGTCAGTCCTGAGTTCTGTCATATGTCCTGCTATGTTTCTTCATGGAATTGTTGCCATCTTCACAGGGTACATTCACAACACCATCTTGTTCACATATTGAACTTGTTCTTTAGCTCTTAATCTACTTTCTGAACAACTTTCTTATGAGAATGTTTCAGTGGTTGTTTTTGTCAAGTGTTTTGCTATACATGTCTTGCAAATTTTCTTTTTTGCCTTAGAACATGAGACTTGATTCCATTTACTGTTTTGTCAAAGTCTCTGATTTTTGTGCTTTAACAGCATGGAAAAGACAGCATGCTTATGTAAGTACAGGGCTGAAATGTTATCTAAATTAGGAAAAGCAGATTTTGTATATTGCATCCTATCTTTGTATTTAATTCTGTTATTGAAGACTTTCCTAACGTTTACAGTACCCTAATTGATTATCTCTTTCAGGAAAAAGAAATTCTTTTGACATAAATGCCACTGACTCATTAATTACATGCTTGTGTGTTGTGTGTTTTTTTAGATTTGTGGGCTTTTTTTCCCTATTGTGGTCAGACTAATCTAAATGATTCAAGTGAAAATAGGCTTAGAAGAAGCATCTACTTCAGTATACTCATTTTCAGATTTAAATGAGCTTTAGTATTTTCTAGAACATCAAAGAGAAGACGTCACACGCTGAGCCTGTTTTATTCTTCCTTAGAAGTTAAAATGAATGATTGTGGAAAGAAGTGAAGGTGAAATCTATTGTGGAGAGCAATGTTTAAGTACTTTTTAAATGGGTGAGGAAGGAGAGGAAGGCATAAGGACTGAATGATCAGTAGTCTTAAAAGTGGTTCCTAGTAGTCAAGCTGTTAAAAATAATAATTTAAAAAAAAAAAAAAGGAAGTCAAACATGCAAGAAAATCCTTAATATGTTTGATTCTTGCAAGAGAAAGGTTTCTGTCTCCGTCAAGAATCAGCACTGAAGAATTCTGATCTGCTGCTCGCTCTGAGATCTGAAGGTCAGGTGTCCTTTAGTTCAGCGTCTATTTAATGATGGAAAAAGCTCTGGGATCTCCTTAAAGCAGTATTTCTGTGGGAACTAGAAAACTGGAGCTTTCATACGATGTCATAAGAGGAAAGATAGCTGTTCTCAGCATGCTTTCATATTAGTGAAGTGTTCAGATCAAAAAAGCTTGCACTGAGTAGCTTTCCTGGAAATTGTCCTGAATCACTGATGTGCCATTTCCCCGTGTCTCTTCTACATATTTTCTAGCAAAAATCTCACCCTTCATTTTGGGCCAGTCACATGGGGACTCTGCTCTTTGTGTACTGAAGTGACTCTGTAGACATCTTACTGACAGTTATCAGCAGCTTTCAAACTAGTATTCACTCATATGTCCCTTCTGACTTTGCTTTAAGAAAACTCTTACTTTGTGCAATATATTTATCAGTTATTACATAATGAAGCCTGATATCAGAGGAAAAACTGTGCCTTGTCTGGGAGCAAATAATGAATAATCTCGCATCAGTGATAAGAGTGCCTATTTTCATGATTTTAAAGAAACTAGGTGAGTTGATAGTGCTTAGGATATGCAAGCTGCCTTGCATGTATTTTTGTTTTTTATTCTTTCAAATGATAATTCATTTGCTGTCTACTTCATGCGTCTGAGGGATTTTTTGTTGCATTTGTGGACTTCAGGGATAGGTATAATCTTCTCAATCTTCATTCATCACATGGCCTTGAGCTGTGCAATGAGCTTCAAGCACCATTACTTGTAGCATTGGATCACCTTCATCAGGCAACTCAGATATGGTGCTACCAAATCATTTTCCATTGAGGCTTTTCATTTGCCTGCAAAATGAGTTGGATGTTTGGGCAGTGTTTCTTTACAAAATAAATGAGTCCAGAATCTGCTTCTGTAATAAATTATTCAAGACATCTTGAGCAAGGTCTGTGTTTTAGATTAAGAATTCTGTCATAATTAAAGCCATTGATGTCACTGTGGTCATTCCTATAATTTATCAAGGTGGGTAAGAAGTGTACCCTTTCAAACATGCTCCACGACCTGCCTGCTCATAGACTGAAGGTGTTCATCAGAACTTGGGGAATCCCCCCCTCCTACTCCAGTAGGATACACTGAATGCGCCCATCAAAAATTGAGAGCAGAACATAACATGAGCTATGTTAGCTGTTCACCTGGCTCATGCTGTTTGGGTAGGATAGTCTGGAAGCTTGTCTTACAAATGAAAAGTTTAGTGTAGAGGAGAAAAAAAAACCAAAACAAAAACAAAATAACCATGGCCCGCAGAATCAAGTTGTTTGGATATAATCAGGAAGGTGTCCCCTTGCTACAATAAGTATTTGGCAGCAATATCTGTGATTGTGGCATTTTCAGTGTTTTCTTACTAAAACTAATGGAGGACCTAATTGGGTTTCCAGTTCAGTCAAAGACAGGATTTCCAATTGGCACTCTGTGTTCACTCCCTTATAAGTAAACCATTGTATCTGCTGGCAACCGTCTGTTCTTCACTTTCCTGTGACAGTGACTCTTGTGGTGGTTACTGATATGATAGTATCAGTATCATAGATATGATAGTCTCTGCAACTGAAAAGGTTGCAGAGAGGAAAGTGCTTATATTTGAGCCTTAACGCTGTATGTTTTGGCTTTAAGACTGCTCTTGAGATCTGTCCCATGCCTGAAGTTGCACCAAAATGGCAATTGTGTTGGAAGCTAACGCACATTCCTTTGTCCTCAAGCACAGTTCGAGTGTCTGCTGCTTCTATTGGTTTGTTGTCAGCATAGGTCTTTCAAGGTGAGTTGAGGACTCCGTCCTTGTGACAGAGCAGTGAGGATTTGGCTACTTCCAGTAATTCTGTTGACAAGGAAAAGGAAGCATGAGGGCAGGTTCTGCATGTAGCACAGTGTGAATATCAGTGAACATCTGTGGCAGGATGCAAGGAACTTGCAAAATAATACTGCAAAGGCAGAAATGCCTGTCCTCCCTCCTAAAACCTGGCTCATGATACTGGTGTTATAAGTGCTCACGCACGGTGAGCAAGTGAGCAACGCCTTTCAGCAAAGGATTATGAGTAAGAAACCTTTCGGCACTTTGTGGTTGAAATACTCACGTGGAAAATCAGATCAGATCTTGAACTGCATCTTGAGCTATCTGTCAAGCTGTTTTTGAACTGCAATCCCAGTTTGTTTTGCATGAGTGGAGGCTGGCACAAGTTCGAAAACCAAACACGTGCATCTGAAGTATATGGGAGAAAAATACCCCTAGTCCTGAAGCCCATCCAGATTCAGAAAAGACAAAAGTGAATGTAAAAGTGAGGCGAAATGCTATGTACGTGTGTAAGATCCTAATGTAAAGCAGGGAAGTTGTATGTGATGAAAACAGAAGGGGATTAACGCTTTCAGATAATATTTCATGATCAAATAGTTGCAGAGCTATTCGTGACTCCTTGTGAACCAGTTAAAGCTCTTTTCCATTGTTTTGTAGATAAAAGCTGCCAAGTGAAGATTAGAATTAGTATTTATAAAAGGAATGTTTACATCAAATTTCTGACCCCGTTATGTCAGATTACTTTCATTACAAATTGTTTTGTGCCATATATTCAAAACAGAAATGTAGCAAATGTGCAGTTCTCATAGATGACTTGTGGTGACGCTATGGAGAATGAGGAAAAGCAAGTGGGATCTTCAAGTCCATGATACTTTATTCTGTAAATAGAAAAGTAAATAGAAATCCATGGAAAAGGTACCTAAACAGAGGAAAACGCTGTCAGTGATTCTCAGTGTTACTACTTATTTTGGATGCTGATAATACCTGTGAACTGAAAGGCACAAAAAGGAAGTGTTAATGTGAGAAAAAGCAATTGTTGGTCAGCACTGTCTTTACTTGCTCAAACTTGGAGTTTAAAAATACTTACACTGAAATTGAAGCTGTTTTCAGTGGAAATGTCTCCAAATAACATTAAATTTAACATGCAAAAAACATTATTTTTGGCTTCCACTTGTTTTCTTTGTTGATACTGTGCCAAAGTAATGTGCTTTAAAAAAACTGCATGGTATTGTTTCAAGTGAAATATATTTTGAAGTATTTTATTTTTGTTTTCTAGCCTCTTGTTGTGCCTCATAGAATTCATTCGACAAGTAGAAATGTGAGAGAAGAAAAGACGCGCTCTGAAATAAACTGTAAGCACATGCTTATGACGTTCTGAAGTTAATTGTTGATATTCGCTTAAAGGGAGGCTATCAGAAAGAAGGGGACACAATATCAACTTTTTGTGATAGGGTAATGGAAAATAATTACAGACTAGAAGAGAGGGGAGATGTAGACTGGATGTAAGTAAAATGTGCTTTATAAGGGCGATGAGACACTGGCAAAGTTGCCCAGAGATGTGGTAGAAACTCCATCCCTGGTGACACTCAAGGTCAGGCTGGACGGGGCTCTGAGCACCTGATAGAGCTGTAGGTGTCCCTGTTCATTGCAGAGGGGTTGGACTAGATGGTCTTGGAAGGGACCTTCCAACTCAAATGTTTTTACAATTTTATGAAATTTTGACCACTATTCTGGGTATTTTAAATACTTAGAAACATCTTAATTGATATGCAGTAAAATTAAAAAAAAAAAAAAAAAAAAAAAGTGATGTTTTACCTACAGATTCAGGTTCCAGATGTTTACGCAAAATAAATACTTATGTAAAATATTTGAATACACCCTTGTCAGTATTTTAACAAGTCTTACTATTGCCTCATCTTAATTGAACAGGATACAACCTGAGCTCTTCTGAGAGCTGGTTGGTATAGCCCTGGGTCCCAGACCAGCAAAGATATTCAGTGTGGTGCCAGATTATGCTGGGTAACAAAATGTTGAAGAAAGCTTTTTCTTCCTTAGTATATTTGTTGTTTTGGCTTTTGAGATGAAACAGACATGTAGGAATCAATAAGGGAGAAAGTTGATCACTGGCTGTAAGAAAGAGACTCCATCCCCAGATTGTACTCATTTCTTTGCTTGAATTAAATTAAAGCATTACTGGCAGCTTCAGTTGTCTTTTCTTAAGCTGAAATAGAGGGAAGGGTACCTGCCAAGGACAAAGTGTTAGTAGCTTTCCCTGAACTTGAATCAATTCTCTTTAGTGCTAACTAGACTCCAGAAGAACAGATCCAAGATTGAATTCAGAAAATCGGGTATTTTCTTTACAGCTGTGTTTCTCCTTTAAAAAAGACATTTCCCTGCCCTATTCGCTGAGTTCTTCTCCCAATCCTTCTAATGATGATTGTGCTCCCTTTTCTGAGAGTAATTTCTGTGCCTGTTCTAGCAGGTACAACTTTGTGTCTGTGTGTCAGATGTTTCTATCAGCGGACATATGATATAATCACTACACTGAATTACTTTTGTTAACCTTTGGAGTTAAGTGTTTCCTAATCACTGTCTAATTTGTTTTCCTTTTCTTCTCTTTAGTTGGTCAAGTAAAATTTGATCCACCCTTGAGGAAAGAAACAGAGCCACATCATGAATTTGTGAGTAACAAGAAAGATGTGCAATGCACTGTACATTATTCTCTGCAAATATCCATGGAGTAAGGGAAATCCAAGATGTATAGTGTACTTTCTTAGCTCTACTAAAATTTGTAGCAGTTTTGCCAGCAGGTGGTAACATACTAGTCCAAAATTGTTTGATGCCGTTACACTACACAGACAGACCCCTTGTTTGTGGACTTTGCCAGGTGTGATGTATGAGCTATGTGATGTGTGGGTTTCCTCTGTCCTTTATACTTTGTTGCTAAGTGTATCGTTCCCTTATTGTTCTAGGTATAAAATTGCTCTGTATGTGTACTCAGGTGCTTATGTCCCTGGTGCTCCATTGGCAATGGTAACTAATAGAAATAATTATAAAATTAAGAGCCTGGGAAGGGATATAACGCATTTGAAAATAGATTTTTGTTGTTTTTTTATTTTCCCATGCAAACAAACTTTCTGTGGCCCTGGATCACACCTGAAACACACTGAGTTTGGTGGCTGCTGTTTTGTGTAACAATGCAGTGCTGATGTTTTCCTCCTATGGATGTCTGCCAGTACTAGATGTATGAGAACTCAGGCAGTGTGAGTAAAGGTGTTTGTGCTGTCACACCACTGCAGTAAATTCCTCCTCTATGGAGGCTGTTGCTTTCCTTGTCTGTACACTTTGGAGGTTTCTTCACATTCCTAGTTAAAAAGAGTACGTCCTAGTTAAAATGATGCTTCCTTACTGCTGACTACTGTGTTCTCTAAAGCAGGTGTTAATGTAAATAAATTGATTTAGTACTTTAGGTGAGAGGGACATCAGCTTCGCTCCTGGAGTTGCAGTTGTTCCTAAGAGTTGGTTGGTGCTGGGTGCTTCCTTTTTCGTAGTCTTCAGACCACAAGTAGGATTTCTGATGCTCTTTGCCTTAATATGGCTCTGTAGCTGTGCTTAAATCTCTTTCACAGTGCCCTGTCCTTTGTCAGTGGGCCAGGTGGCTCTGGGTGTATAAGGTTGTGCACAATATTGCTCTTCTGCAACTGGCTGGGAAGGCAGTCTGATATTTCTGGAGTCTAATCGAGAAGGGAGAGAACAATTTTTCCAGTCACATTCAGGATGTTGATTTTAGATACAGTATTTAGACATCGATGTAACTGCATTAGAGATCCTAGCTGTAGCTGTGTGTGTTAAACAAGACAGAGATTTTCTGCAGAGGTTAAAGAGAGCACTTCTGAGAGTACTTCTTTGACAGGTATTTTTGGAAAGGAGGAATTGGACCTTCTTCCATAGTGGCTGTTAGCAATCAGGACCTTTGGACATTGGACCCTTTGGACTTTGGAAGCCCTTGCTGCTGCAAGAAGAAGCTTGAAATGTCCAGATTAACTCTGGAAATTTTACTGTTTTCTATTGCTGTCAGAGTTTGTGTATTTCCAATCTTGCCTTATCTGCTTGTGGAGATTAACAGCCTTGCTGCCCATATTGAAATGAAGCAAGCAGACATGATCTGTCTTTTTGAGATAAAAATGTGTTTATTTTAAGGTATTTTATATCAAAGTAATAATATACTATGATGACCTGGTAGGAGTATTTCTTTAGTACTAGTGTACAAGTTTGTTTTTAGTGTAGGTATGAAAGGAAAAGAATGCCCACTTATGAAATAATCATCAGCTCATCTGCCACAAAATTACTGTGACATACCTGAAAAAGCCACTGCAAGCAAGATACAGTTCCTGTTAAAAAACAAAACTGTAACAACTGCTTACATCAAATATTTGTATCTGCAGTAGCTGTTCTTATCACTGTGGATTGAGAGTTAAGAGAGTTGTGTTGATTATTACAACTGCTGTTAGCCAAGAGAGAGATTGGGATTTTGAGAGTGATGATGTTCAGTCTAGAAACCAAAGACAAAACATATTTTGTTGTTGGACGTGGAAATAGTGGAAAATTCAAATTGGTGTGTCAGAAGCCAATGAGATCTTTCCAAGGAACAGATTGAGTGGGAAAAGAATGATTTTTAAATGGAAGCAGGGGCAAGAGGTACTACTTCTTCCTTCAACAATAATGATGTTGATCTCTTTAATTAAAGCAGTTCTTCTGACCCTTTTGCTTTTATCTCACTAAAACATGCATGATCTTCATGCTGCTTGACTGAAGAGCATGACTACTCAAGCAAAGGACTGGACAACTGCTGCATAAGTTACTGTTGGTAATGCACTTTAATTTTAAGCTGATGCATACCTGCATCTTACTGAGGCGGTTTTTCACCCAATACCACAGCTCAGGTGTTGAACAGCGTCCTTATTTTGGTGTGATTCAGTTGCCTTTGGTGATGGCACAATGCCCTTTGCTGTGCTTTATCCTCCCTGAACTGCTCTAACATGGTTTGAGCTCCAACTAACAGATTGTTTTTCTTTTTTGCAAAAACGTTTCCCTTTATCTGTGCCTGGCTTTCAGCGACAATGTGAATAACTTGAATTTCTTGATCTCTTATCTAATGAACAGCCTGACAGTAGCGATTTTTTGGACAATACAGAAGACATATACTACACTGCAAGATCTAACCTGGTATATTTCATCTCATGCCTTTCTATGTCAGTGTTGGTTTTGTCCTTGTTTCACTTTTTTGGAGCTCGTGCTTTGTCCTGTTGTTGTGCTGGTGTTTTCATCTGTGTAAAAACCATTGTAATTTAGAAGGGAATTCTTAAAATGTGCAGTACTGCAAGTGTTTAATGCATGTTCATGTTTAGTTGAACCGCAGTAATGGAGGGGGCTCAGTGTTAGGCAGTCATTCCTATTTATTTAACTACTTTACAGTGCGTAACAGTAACTTTTTAGAGAGTGATTTAAAAGTAGGAAAGAATGATGTTGGTAGTTATGTTTGGTAGTTCCTTTAAAGAGTCCCCTGAAAGACTATAAAATGACATAAACTTAAATATCCAAATTCTCCAGATAGTAGTTAGGTTACAGAATGAATATAAACTCAATACAAGTAACAGATGGCAGGGTCCTAAGTGTTTTCAATGGCATTTGGCACCATTTCTGCTCTGAAACATTTTCCAAATGTTCTGCTACCACACTGCTAAAAATCTCAGCTGTTGGCACTGCAGTACGAAAGTTACTGTAGAAAGTGAGTTTACTCATTTATTTGTTCTTTAGGCACTGCATAGTTTGAAAAGTAATACTTTTGACTCTGACATCTTCCTGTAGGGTGGAAAAAAAAAAAAAAGCTTTCTGTGTTAGATGAAGAGCATTGTTTTAGTGGCTTTCTTTGATTTGTGAGCTGCTTAATGCAAGTGTACTGTGGGGAAAAATGGAAAACTAAGATGTTTGGGAATGTCTTGGTTTGTTGGTGTTTTTTTTTTTAGTGTGATGGGTTTTATTTTGGATTTCTGGTTTTGGCTTCACTTGGCTCGATGTGCCTTGTATCTTCCAATGCTGTAATTACTGAGAGCTTTCACTCTGTCTTTTCCATTCTCTGAAGGAATATCATATAACTTTGCTTGATAGAAAAATATTTCAAAACAATTTGTGAAACAGAAGCTTAGGTTTCTCTGTATGAGAAACATCTCATCTGTGCAGTTGCTTTAGCTCTGGGAGTTTTGGGCTTCAATTTTTTTCATCTTGGTTTTTATTTTTTCATTTGATGCTTTTAGACATTGCTTTTGGTGTTGTTTCCTATGATGTTAACCTACAATCTGTGGGCCTAAGGGGCCAGTAGCAACACGTCTCCCAACTAGACAGTCCTTTCTTCCCTTAGAGAAATGATTACTTTACTAAAGCTGGTAAAGTACTAATGCTACAATCATGGGAGGACATAGCAGGACCAAAATTATTGCCCTTAAAATGTTTTTGCTGTATTTAAAAATGCATCCGGAGATGGTCTCAAGTATATAATGTCGTGAGGAAAAAATGTGCAACTTCTTCCAGGTTGTTTTTTTCTATCACAGGGGTTGGAGGGGACCTCTGGAGATCAGGTGGTCCAACCCTTTGCTCCAACAGGTTCCTACAGCACACTGTACAGGAAAGTGTCCCCAGGTGGGTTTTGACTATCTCTGGAGAAGGAGACCCCGCAGCCCCTCTGGGCAGCCTGTTCAGCTGCTCTGTCACCCTCACAGTAAAAAAAGTTTTCCCTCGTTTGCATAGAACTTCCTGAGTTCCAGTTTTTGCCCATTGCCCCTCGTCCTGTTGCTGGGTACTGCTGACAAGAGCCTGGCTTCTGGGTGCAGGCTATTTATTTATTCATTTATTTTGCTCCACTGATGGTGAGGTTAAAAAGCAGAGTATGGAAAATGTGAGGTATGATTTGTCCTGATGTTAAAAAAACAAACAAAAAAAACTGAATTTTTCTAATATCAGTTTGTCTCACCAGACTGTAAGGAGGTGAATTGAGCAAATAGAAAAATCTTTTAAAATAAATTTGGAGAATGAAGCTGCTGATTTGAAATTTTATGTTTTGGTGTCAGATGGAAGTGCTGATGCTACAGATATGGCTCAACTTGCTGTATTTGTTAGAGATGTTGGTAACAAATGTAATGGCACTGAAGAAATGGCTGCTTTGGTGCCATTAAAAGACACAACTACATCTCTTGATTTGTACAAAGCACTAAAACTGCATGAAAACAATTTTCTTTGACCTTTGTCAACATATCTGTATGTATATACAGGCATCCTGGTAATGGGTTAATTAAAACAAAAAAATAAAATTATAAAATGAATAGAAAATGGTGCAGTTGCTACTGCTACTATTGATGAAATAGCACTACATGGTATGTCAAGAAGTGCTTGAATCATAGCCAATCCCACGAGTTCCTTAACAGTATGGATGCTGATAATGAGGACATCTTTTACACATCTGAAGGAAGGTGGTAAGTCAGGGTAAAACGTGAAAAAAACTTTATGAATTGCAAAAGAATACAAGTAAGTTATGGAATCAAAAGGAAAATTTATGCTAGAACTTGGAAATGAAAAATGGCTCAGATTTAGCATTTTTGGTGGATTTGGCTCCTCATTTAAATGAGCT